AAAAATTAACGTGTCTTACTGTGAGCCAGTTCATGATGGGCTTCTCTTACGATAACTTAAAATTAAGTTGTTGTTTTTTAATAGTCTTTGAGGTTATTTACTTGTGTGGAAAAGGGCGAAGAATATAGGTTAAGAGTTAATCATGTAAAGACGAGAGTGATGGTTGTTTCCAAATTGGAAATACATCCTAAAATAAAAATTATGGTAGGCAAGAAGGAACTTTAAACAAGTGGAAAATTTTGTGAATTCGGGAAGTAACACTTGCTGTGATGGTAGATGTACGAAAGAAATCATAACAAGAATCGGTCAAGGAAAATAGCATTTAATAATCTAAAAGAGCTTAATATTGGAAGAACAAATACTTATAATGTATACAGCCTTAACAACATCAACCTAGAGAAGTCGACTTGTGAAAGAGACCTAGGGGTACTTGTAAGCCCGGACCTACGGCCTAGAAAACAGTGCGTTAATGTTCGAAATAAGGCAAACAGAGTATTGGATTTTATATCTAGAAGTGTAAGTAACAAGAGAGCAGAGGTCTTATTGCAACTATATCTTGCGCTAGTCAGGCCGCACCTCGATTATGCGGTTCAGTTCTGGTGCCCCTATTATAGAATGGATATAAATTCACTAGAGTCGGTGCAGCGAAGAATAACAAAAATGATTCCGGGACTTAGAAACCTTCCATATCAGGATAGGTTAAAGAAACTTAACTTGCATTCCCTAGAACGACGAAGAGTGCGGGGAGATATAATAGAAGTTTTTAAGTGGGTGAAAGGAATCAATAAAGGGGATATTGATAAAGTTCATATAATATCCGAGCAGGATAGGACTCGGAGCAACGGATTCAAGTTGGATAAGTTTAGGTTTAGGAGGGAGATAGGAAGAAACTGGTTCACAAATAGGGTGGTGGACGAGTGGAACAAGCTTAGCAACTTTGTAGTAAGTGCGGGAACTCTGGAGAGTTTTAAAAGGAGGCTAGATAGATTCATGGATGATAGAGTGGTAGTAACTCTCGACAGGAGCTGCCATGCATAGGCCAACCGGCCTATTGCAGACTCCTTATTTTCTTATGTTCTTATGTTCTTAAGAAGTGCTAAGGTTAACAAAAACTTCAAGAGAAATATTTGAAATGTACATAAAAAGAGAAATAAGATACTTCAGTCATTAATGTTTTATTAGGGATGTGGGGATAATAACAGAAATAATAATGGGCAAAGTTAAGGGTAGGAGGATCAGGGTAAGACAGAGACTGGGATAGATGAATGAAATTAAAAACTGGGTCCCCAGAGAGATACAAACCCTTAGTAAAAACAGTCCAAGAACGTTTAGAGTAAAGAACTGTGGTCGCTAACCCTCAGATATAATGAGATCGGTACTCTAATTATCTGACTTGCGTTTGATGGTTTTGGGGTGATAAGAATATTTTAATTCATGATGAGTTTCGTAAATCATTGGGTTAGATAGAAGTGTGTTTGTGGGTGAAATTTCAAGTGCTGGTGCAGGTAGTTTGCTCCTACGTCTGGCAGGTCGGTAGGGGATGTCGACGATGATGAAAATTATATTGTACTTTAAAACTATGATTCCCAACAATCTTTCTCAGGGCCAACTCCCAAAAATTTTCACCATCTGGATACTTCTGCGGTGAATGCACATCTGTATACCAACCTTCAACTCTCTGTCTATAAAACTATAGCAATGCATAGAGAACACACGAACTGATATTGTAATTTATATACTCGTGTAAATCAGAGAAAACTTTACCATTTACAAATTAATTTCTATTAAGCAGTAGCAATAAAAACCAAAAGTTATCCCTATTTGGTAAGAATGTCTGTTGCTTTTTAAAACTTAATTGGTTAGTTTGCCTATTTAGCATGACGGACATACACACACACATACTCACACATTTGTGTGTGTGTAAAATGTTTATTCACACCTTCTTTACTACCCTTATACACATTCACCTCTCCATCTTGTCTCCACACATCTCCCTTAAGAGATCTACCAAACAGATCGTATGCAAATGAGTTAATATAACCTCCTAAATTTCCCTCTTGGTCTCTTAAGTGACGTCTAACCTGACCATCTACCTCCAGGGAGCCTCGCCCCAGGTAACACTATACAACACGACAACCCTTTCTAATTTACCTTTCTCCTGCCTGGTTTTACCTCCTCTTTCGCTATTTTTTTATTGTTGAAGTCTGGCGCTGTTATCGGGTACTTTTTTATGTCATCTAAAAGAAAGTGGATAGTGGAAGTTTTCTTCTTTTTTCCTTTTCTTTATCTTTACCTTTTTCTTTTTCTTCTCATTTATTTCTATTCTCCTAATTCTCTTCCTCTTCTTCCTGGAGTCTATTAATGGTCTTCTTTTTTCTTCACTTCAGTCTTCCTCTTCTCTATGTATATGTATGTTGTATGTATGTATGTATGTATGTATGTCTAACTGTCTATCTATCTATCAATCTGTCTAGCTATCTATCCATCTATCTCCTCCTTTATTACAATACGCAACAAAGTAAAGTGAGGCTACTGGACAAGAAAGTTACGTAAAATTACCTGATCAGGAAGCTGCTATCCGATGACAGCTGACCTATAGGAGTGTAGCGCGTAGAAAGTGAGAATGTTGTGGCTGATGGTCTGGTGAATGATGAATGTGTGGATGAATATCTGGGCATGGTGAGTGATGAATGTGTTGGTCTGTTGATTGATGAATGTGTGGGTATGGTGAGGTGTGGATGAATGTCTGGGTATGGTGAGGGAAGTATGGATGAATGTTTGGAGATGGTGAATGAGGTGTGGCTGAGTGTGTGGGTATGGTGAGGGAAGTATGGATGAATGTGTGGGTATGGTGAGTGAGGTGTGAATGAATGTGTGGGTATGATGAGTTAGGTAAAGATGAATGTGTGGGTTTGATGAAGAAAGTATGGATGAATGTGTGGGTATGATGAATGAGGTATGGATGAATGTGTAGGTATGGTGAGTGAGGTGTAAATGAATGTGTGGGTATGATGAGTTAGGTAAGGATGAATGTGTGAGTATGGTGAGGGAAGTATGGATGAATGTGTGGGTAAGATGAATGGGGTGTGGTTGAATGTGTGGGTATGGTGAGTGATAAATGTGCAGATGAATGCGTGGGTATGATGAGTGAGGTGTGGATAAAAGTGTGGGTATGGTAAGTGAGGTTGGATGAATGTGTGGGTATGGTGAGTGTGGTGTTGATGAATGTGTGGGAATGATGAGGGATGAATGGATGAATGTATGGGTATGGTGAGTGATGTATGGATGAATGTGTGGGTATGGTGAGTGAGGTATTTGAGGAAGTGTGGGTATGGTGAGTGATGAATGTTTAAATGAATGTGTGGATATGATGAGTGAGGTGTTGATGAATGTGTGGGAATGATGGGGGATGTATGGATGAATGTGTGGGTATGGTGAGTTAGATAAGGATGAATGTGTGGGTATGGTGAGTTAGATAAGGATGAATGTGTGGGTATGGTGAGTGAGGTGTGTTAGAATGTGTTGGTATGATGAGTGATGAATGTGTTTATGAATGTGTAGGTATGGTGAGTGAGGTGTAGATGCATGTGTGGGTATGGTGAGTGAGGTGTGGATGAATATGTAAGTATGGTGAGGGATTTATGGATGAATGTGTATTTATGGTGAATGAGGTGTGGATGAATGTGTGTGTGTATGGTGAGTGAGGTGTGGATGAATGTGTAGGTATGGTGAGGGGTGAATGTATGAATGTGTAGGTATGGTGAATGAGGTGTGGATGAATGTATAGGTATGGTGAGGGATGTATGGATGAATGTGTAAGTATGGTGAATGAGATGTGGATGAATGCTTGGGTATGGTGAGGATGTATGGATGAATGCGTTTTTTTTACGGGGATTAGCCCACCCGGGCACAGGTCACTGTCACATCGGGGCCCGGGGGCGAAAATGTAATAATAATAATAATTCATAGTAAATAAAATTTATAATAGAAAGTAAAATAAAATATTAATGGTAATAATAATAATAACAACACTGTGAAAATAATAAATAGAAAGACATGCAAGAATGAAAAAAAAATCAACAGTGAGAAACGCTAAATGTATGTTGAATGGTGAATGAGGTGTGGATGAATGTGTGGGTATGGTGAGTGATGAATGTATAGGTATGGATAGATGTGTGGGTATAGTGAGTGACGTGTGGATGAATGTGTGGGTATGGTGAATGAGGTGTGGATGAATGTGTGGGTATGGTGAGTGAGGTGTGGATGGAATTGTGGGTATGGTGAGTGATGAATGTATAGGTATGGATAGATGTGTGGGTATAGTGAGTGACGTGTGGATGAATGTGTGGGGAAAGTGTGAGTGTGAGAGTGAGAGACAAACAATGCAGAGAGAGAGAGAGAGAGAGATAATTAACTCCTGGCCATATTTACAAGCTTTCTTTTAATTCAATTTCCCTTTTTACGTGTTATGTGTTCCAGCAATTTCGACATCCATGTTGAAGTGTCATACTAGACCCTTATAACCTCCCTCCCCCCACCCAAAAAAAAAAGAAAACAGAAAGAAAGATGTAAGTGAAATACTATGCAGGTTTTCACGTTATTAATTCTTGTGTGATAGTTCCCCACAATACGCTGTGGAAATGACTGAAACATATTAACTCATCCAGATGTGGGTAATATTAATCTACTGTTGTTTAGGTGTAAAAAAAATATAATGAATGTCGGAGAGTCAGTGTTGAGGAGTTAGTTTAACATTAGGATATTAAGCGAAGAAAAACATAAGGCAATAGCGATCATGTTATATAATATAAAAGAGAGAGAGAGAGAGAGAGAGAGAGAGAGAGAGAGAGAGAGAGAGAGAGAGAGAGAGAGAGAGGAGTATAGTGAGTGCAGGGACAGGTAGGAAGGGAGGCTTATGACCCTTTCTCTCCCCGAGGAAGAGTTGAGTATATAAGAGACGGAGAATGACGTGGCGAACCAGTCTTCCCTGAGCTGTCCCTCCAAACATCACCTGGCTCTTCTCACTTGTATCTCCGTTGCTCACACTCAACTCCTGTCAACGCCAATCCTCAACGTCTGAGTGACTAATCATCCTTATCATCCAATTCCTGACAACATTTACTCATTTCACTCTACTTGATCCATTGTTAGTCATCAACCTCACTACTCGCTGCTTAACTCCCTGGCTCTGTCTATGTGACCTATCGACCTCACCAGTCAGCTTCAGAAAAAATAGCTTAATTCCCACACGTTCCTGACATCCACCACCTCACCACCCATCCAGCTCCAAGCTACATCTCTCAGTTCACCTGGTTGTCCGCTTGGCATGATCCTCACTAATTAGTTCCTCACATCAATTCGCTTCAAGTCGCTCTCCTTCTTGTTGCCAGTCACTCAAAGTATAATGTTTGCCAAGAATATTATTTTTGCAGGTAAGTGTCTATGGTATAATATATGTCATTTATTATTATAGTTAACATTTAATACGGGTAAGTGTTTAATGTTTTGATACAATTTCAGCACTGATTGGTGTTGTTGAAATATTCGATAACTCTTAAAAATAATGCTAACCGTCTAGGTACGATGACTTAATCGTTTAAGTAAGATGGTTATCGTATTATAAAATAAAATAGTGAAGATAGTCTACCAACCCCTTTGTGTATACGGATTCCATTCTGACTTTAATAAAATCGATTGGCGTTAACCAGTGCAGTGAATGAGTTAATCGTACTAAAAGGGTTAAGCCGCCACAATATGCAATACGTACTGTAGTCAAAGGTTAAGTTATAGCACTCACGCGATTAAATCATGTTATTAAACGGAATAAAATGTTCAGTGTTATGTTCGTAAAATAAATCTCCCAAACTAACTTTTCAAGACAAATGTGCAAACTTATATTTTCGTGAAAGGAAAATAAACCAATAATTTATCCCACGAACCAGTGACGTGTTGACATTGTTGACAATAACTTAGTGCATCGGGGACATTATGTTATACACATATACACTGCAATAAGAAGCTGTCAACGACCTATTGTACACATTGTAAAATCAGAAACACCTCACTTAGCTATTATGTAAGTCTCGTTCAAGATTCTTCGAACACTGCTGGAGACAGTTGGCAACTCAAATTAGCAGTATAATATAATACGAAACAACAATGCCCAACCATTAATTAAGCAACGGGGAACTAGATTACCAATCACCGATCACTTTTACATTCATTCATAATTTTTACTACGTACTATAGTAAACAAACGGCCTTGAATTCCCACCTGTTTCCAGCAGTGTTCGAAGAATCTTGAAAGAAACTGTAAGTAAGTAAGTACGAACTGTACATTCACTAAAAGATTATTCTGCACCTTTACTAGGATATACAATATGACACACCGGACCAAGAAATCTGACAACACTCATCGGGGCTTCTGTCGCAGTGATAGTTGCGGATAGTTTCAGAGCCAAGGGTGCAGGATATTCTTTTAGTGAGTGTACAGTACAACAAGAGGGAGTGCACTACCCCCATTTATTTAATATGGCAACATCATCAGTCACACTAACGAGAAAGAGAGAATGGGAGAAAGATCAGAGATGAAGGAAGATGAGAGAAAAATAATGAACAATATCTTTGAGCTCACCTTTATACAGAAATTTAGCATGCACTGCATATTCATTCACCGAGCTACTGAGAGAGAGAGAAAAAAAAATAGGGAGTAAGAAAGAGATTGGGAGCGAGAGAGAGAGATTGTGAGTAAAAGAAAGGTAGTGAGTGAGAGAGAGATAGGGCACGAATCAGAGAGAGAGAGAGAGACGGGGCATGAGTCAGGGAGAGAGAGAGAGAGAGAGAGAGAGAGAGAGATACCATTAAGACAGCACCCCCTGACCAACACTAATGTGACGACTAAAGATGGTGTATACTTTACAGTGTGTGTGGTGGGCACGTGTCTCGCCCTCCCGAGGACAAGGCGAGACTCATCACCAGAAGAGTACGAGCTGCCGGGCAACGCTACAGCCATTCTTGTCAACCCCCTGCAGACTGGCTTCACGTGAGTACCTTAATCACCAGGTAATAATTTTTTCTCTCTGTCATCCTGTCTCTCTCTACACCCTCTCTCTCTCTCTCTCTCTCTCTCTCTCTCTCTCTCTCTCTCCCTCTCTCTCTCTCTCTCTGTGTATGAAACTCTGCATCACTCCATTATTTGTCATTATACATAAAATACCTGCTTTAGAATCAATTATATCTGCGTGCTATCGACGGACTGTTAACCTTTTTATATCCAGGTTTAGTGATCACACACACCTTCAAGGCCAAGTCTCACTTTCACTTTTGCGTCCTTGAGAGAGAAAGTAAAAGAGCTAGGACTAAAGATGATGTTAATTGCGTTACTGCTTCCGGCGTAGACAGTAGCAGGATCTCTTCTGTCAAACGAGTAATATTAGTGATATTATTATAATATTTTTATATAAGATAAAATTAATTGAAGGAATCTGATTCATACAGGGAATACAAAACAAATTACGTGGTAACTGGGGCAACAATTACTGCGATAAGATATTTATGTCCTACAAGAATGAAAAATTACGCAAATTTTAATAACCATTATTGTGACTATGAAAATTATAATCATAACAACACTACTACTACTACTGCTACTGCTACCACTACTGCTACTAATAATAATAGTTATAAATATTTCACCAACAACACCCCACACAAGGCTTACAAAACAGAATGTATAATTGCTTATATTTTATATAATAAACAAATCTAGTTTGTATTTATATAAAACCATCTTCTGAGAACCTTGCTAAGAAAACTTACTAAGTAAACGACAGATATATAAACTCATTTACAAATAGAAAGAAAAAGAAGCAGTTTAGGAACACAGAAATAAGTACATCTAAGAGAATTATTCCGGTGCTACTTGAGGCCACACGTTAACAATTATGTCTGGGTTGTCTCAAGGCTACAGAATGTACAAGCAGGACATATGATAGTACGACTGTGTTGGTTGTTGTAACAGCAGAGTTGACGGTCACGGTGAAGGTCACTGGGAGTTGCTTGAAGTTGTTTCTTGTGTGTGTAAATAGTTTATTTTGTTCTTGTTTGAGAGAGGACGTGGGGATGGGATGAATGAAAGAATTGTGGGAAGAATGGAAAGTGAGAGAAGTGGAGAATTAGAAAGACGAAAGAGAGAGAGAGAGAGAGAGAGAGAGAGAGATGCAATTGGACGTGGTAATAGAAAAACAATGTAAATAACACACCATCGATACTTAACACAGATTTGCAATTGCATTACCTATATGATTTAATTTTCTGCAATATAAATTTCATACATTTCTTCTTTTCTTAGTAAGGAATCAGAGAAAACGTATTATTCCGATGATACAACAATAAAACGATGGATAAACATAGAGGGAATTTCTTTTCTTTATAGTTTAACAACTTTATTGGTAAGATTGGGAGAAAGTTCGGAGGGTTGGTTGGTAACGGAGTGTGTGGTAGGGAGGGAGAGCTAGTGGAGGGTAGCAAGCTGTGTGGTAGGAAGGGAGAGTTGGTGGATGTAGAGGGGGTGTGTGGTAGTATGGTAGGCAGGATTGGCAGGTGTAAAAGGGCATGTGGTTGTGTGGTAAGCCGGGTTAGTAGTGTAAAGGGGCGTGCAGTAGTGTGGTAAGGTTGGGGTGTAAAGGGGTGTTTGGTAAGGAGGGAAGGTTGGTGGGTGTAGCGTGGTGTGTGGTAGAGAGGGAAGGAGGGAGGGAGGGAGAGCCTAAGGTCATATTACACCGCCAAATGCCCTGGTAACTGTATAATTGTGGTACATAAAAAAAATCATAAGAACATAAGAATGGAGGAAACTGCAGCGGGCCTATTGGCCCATACTGAGCAGTCCCGTTTACACCCAGTGCCTATCGCTCATATATCCATCCAACCTATGTTTGAAGCTATCCAGCGTATTTGAGTTAATGATGATGTTTGGCAACTTGTTCCATTCATCCACTACTCTATTTCCAAACCAATGTTTACCTATCTCGCGCCTAAATCTAAATTTGTCTAATTTAAAACTATTGTTACGAGTTCGCTCCTGGTTGGACAGTTTGATTACATTTGTTATATCACCTTTGTTTCGCCCTGACTTTCATTTATACACCTCGATCACATCACCCCTCACTCTACGTCTCTGGAGGGAGTGCAAATTAAGATGCTTTAACCTGTCTGTGTATACTTAATTAAGGTTCCTAATGCCCGGGATTAGTCTTTTCATTCTCTTCTGATTTCTTTCTCGGGATTCTATATCCATTCTGTAGCGCTGTATGGTGACCAGAACTGAATTGCGTAATACAAATGAGATCTCACGAGAGCAAGATATAGTTTTGGGATGACCTCTCTAGTCTTGTAACTAACACTCCTTTGTATGAACCCAAGTACTTTGTTAGCCTTGTTTCGAGCAAATACACATTGTTTACTAGGTTTAAGAATCCTAAATCTTTCTCTCAGTCGAATTTCTCTATAATATCTTTGGTCATCTGGTAACTGGTTTCTCTGTTTACATCTCCTGACAGAGATGATAATGACCTCTCCTATTCCCTCAATCTGTTCTTTCATTTACTGTTCAAATTTCATATCATTCATCAGAATTCAAAACTTTACAAATTGACGCCAGTAAAAATACAAGTCAAATGAGTATAAAGTTGTGGAGTAGGAATTCCCTTGTGATAGTATGAGTTACAAATTCAAGAGTTTCAAGAAATATCTAAGTAAATAATTAGATATAAAACACATCTTTTACGACAGGGATTCACTTACAGGTATTCAGAATAATAAAAACAATATAGATTTAGTTTTAAGCATAGATATACAGTAGTAATTCCCTTATGGTGATAGCTTCATGGCCACAGAGGTGTTGTCTTGACATTTCATTGAATAAAAATTAATTCCAAATTACAACTAAAATAACAATATCTCACCGCGTATAATAACTGAAGTGATACAATATATTATGGAGGAAGGTCGAGGCACTGAGGGAAAGTGGTGGGGGAGATGAAGGAAGGTGTGGTGGTGGAGATAAGGAAGTTGGTGGTGAGGGGGGACGAGTTATGATGGTGGTGGAGATGAGAAAAGCTTGGTAGTTGTTGAAATGAGGGAGGCTGGTGATGGAGGAGATGAGGGCGAGAGGTGAAGGAGGCTAAGTGGTACTCTGACTACTGCCCCTCTGGTACTTTTGCCCTGCTACTATGGTAATAATGTCAGACTACAACGTCTCCCTACATGTTTGTTACTACCACTGAACATCTATCTACTCCATTGTTGTCTCGTGAGATTAATGCTGGCCAGAAGAGCGGCAGTGTTATGTTTAATTTTGTTGAGGGTGAAGTAATAGTATGGCTGGTCGCTCGCCAGGAGGCTGAGTGACTCTCATTGACGCTGGTTTGTACTGTTTACATAGCATCCCTGTGTGATTAAGTGAAACTATTATTTTATTTTCAACCATTTATTATATACCATAGTACAATAAAACTACATTTCAATGAACAACACTAATCATTAGCATCAATTATTATCCGTATCCTGGCACGAACCTGGTACCCTGAGCACAGGTGAATTTCTGTGCATTTTTACCTTGCAGACTGATCATTAGATTCCGCTGAACAACATTAACTTATTCATGCTAGTTCTAATTTCGATAGGTTTGAGAGATACGTTTCGTGCTGTGAACTGTTTGCCTGCATATGTGTAGCTCACCTGTAGATAGGTCTCAGCTACTGCTTTGATTAGCAATACAAGATGATTGTTGAGAGGATCCCTTTCTGACATGTGTATTACCAAGCCTGGGAATATAGTTTTGTCGAAGAAAATCACCTAGAAGATAATTTTACAAATTCTCCAACGAAAGTGATGAAGAGCGAATTAGAGGAAAAACTTGTGAAGTCTAGGAAAAAAAATGCAACAGAAAACACGACGACTGAAAAAGGTGCCTACTTGTGTTCTGTGATGAGTGTATTAAAAGAAAAAGACTAGTGAGTGAAGACAGTCTGACTATTTTAGAATCCTGTGCTGGTGGAGTGACTGACCTTGTGAAAAGACAGATTGCTAAGAATAGAAGTAAGCCGGTACGTGCTCTATATGCCTCTGCTTTGAGAAGTTTTGCTCTCACTTTGAACTTTTACTCTCCACAAGCATATAAATTCACAATAAAAACTTTTGATGCTTGTCTGCCGCATCCATGAACCCTGGAAAAATGACACAGTACAGTACAAGTGAAACCCGGATTTACCGAGGCATCATTCAATGCATTCAAGCAGAAGGTCAAGAAACCCACAGACGAAACTTCTGGAAATATTTTTTCTTTGGTGATGGATGAAATATCTATTCGTCAACATGTTGAATGGGATGGAAAAGAATATCACGAATTTATCGACATGGGATTGAACTAGATGATGCTTGCGTGCGTGTAGCTAAAGAAGCACTCACTTTTATGGTTGTGTCACACAAGCCTACTTTTAAGTTACCAATTGGATATTTTTTGATTAATGGACTTTGCGATAATGAAAGCAGTAATTTAGTTTTGTAGGCTTTGAATAAACTACATTCACTTGGAGTGAATATTGTATCTCTAACTTTTGATGGTGCAGCTCCTAATTTGGCTGTGATGAAAAATAGTGGTTGCAGCTTGAATCCTGAAAATATAAAGTCATATTTTGATCATCCTGCTACAGGAGAGCCAGCGTGCATTTTTCTTGATCCATGTCATATGTTCAAGTTGTTAAGAAATTCTCTTGGCGATTTAGGTAATTTTTTCGACGCAGAAGGTAATTCAGTTGAGTGGCGATTCATTGTCAGTCTCCACCAGTTACAGGAAAAAGAAGGTCTGCATCCCGGAAACAAGTTAGGAGCTTCACATATTAAATGCGTAAAGAGAAAAAGTAATGTAAAATTGGCCGTGCAGTTACTAAGTGACTCTGTTGCTGACTCCCTCCAGTTTTGTTTGGATGATCTAATGATCAGTCTGCAAGGTAAAAATGCACAGAAATCCCCCTGTGCTCAGGGTACCAGGTTCGTGCCATGATAAGGATAATAATTGATGCTAATGATTAGTGTTGTTCATTGAAATGTAGTTTTATTGTACTATGGCAGGGGTTCTCAACCAGGGGGGAATTTCCCCCCTCAGGTTTTCAGGGGGGGGGAACTGATACTAATATGGAAAAAATAAAGGATTTTCAGTATTATATGCATATTATTAGGAATGCACTTTTTGAGGCAGACAATCTTGGAGAGGAGGGGGAAATGACATTCTGACATATGGTGAAAGGGGTGCATGGGGCAAACAAGGTTGAGAACCACTGTACTATGGTATATAATAATGGTTGAAAATAGAATAATAGTTTCACTTAATCACACAGGGATGCTATGTAAACAGTGCAAACCAGCGTCAATGAGAGTCACCCAGCCTCCTGGCGCACGACCAGCCTTTTTACAAAGATGGCTGACTCAGGGGAAATTGGCTTCAGGGAGCGAGCGGCATGTCGCCTCCATCCTTCATACCTCCATGACTGAAATTGTCCACGCTTCTGACCCATACATCAGCCCTTGCCTTATAAAGCCTTTCAACAGACTTTTTTTCTCAAATTGAGGTTAATGTCCTATCCTGTACTACTTATTAATCCATTTCTTACTTCATGTACTGCACAGTACCTTGACCCACGCAAGCAAGCTGTACTCATATGCATATAAAAGCGCATCCCAGTTTGTTATACTGCTCACTCACCAGGTATGTATTGCAGGTGTGGGCAGCGGATATACGGTTATTATGCCGACGTGGACAACGGATGCCAAGTGTTTCACGTGTGTCATCCCTTCGTTGACGTTGACCTACTCATCAAGATGCGGATGTTCTCATTCATCTGTGGCCAGGGACTTGTCTTCGACCAGGAGAAGCTGGTGGGTGTTATAAGTCATTCTCTAATTAACCTACAAGTAATATAGCTCCTTCTATTTAATATATCTCCTCCAGGGGTAATCTAACCCTTTGGGGCATCTATTCTTGCATCAACAGGTGTGTGACTTCCCCGAGAACTCCGTGCCGTGTGAGGCCGCTGCTCAGTTCTACGACATAAACAATTACTTCGGCCGCGTTGACCTGAACTTTAGGGAGGGGGAGACACCATTAGCCCCAACATCCACAGATTTCCAGGTTCAAACCTTCTCGGAGTTGAGTCAAAGTTTTCAGTAGAGAACTGCACCGAGATGCCCTCTCGAGTGCCCTAATAAGACTGGAAAACAATATTTTTATTGCAATAAAAGGCAAAACTTCAGAAGGAGAGAGCAGTTTTATGGAGGTTTAGCTAAAATTTATCACTGATCATAACACCACTATGGTCAAAGGTATTTACTACAACTGATCTAACATCACTGTCTTCTACCCAAAAGTTACTGCAGTGCTAATGACGTAATCTTGAATATGTTGGAACATTTTCTTGGTATTTTTGATAGCGAAGAAGTCCCCCAAGTAACTGAGAGAGAAAAGATTGAACGAAAGCATTGTACAAGTAATTTGAAGAAATAATGATCTTTATATAGAAAGAAAGTAATGATTCCCAGAGTGTATTACATTCATTGAAACTCATTTACACTTGAGTCATGTCTGAGTTGGTTTGAGTCGCTGTGTTGACTTATCGGGTTAGTTTAAGTATAGTGGGCTGGTCCTACTTTAGTTACTGTTTTGTATCTGAACTTGTTGTTTTAAGTTAGGATGTGTCAACTTGTTTGTGATCTTTTATTGAATTTGGCTTCTACATGTTTATGTTGTGAGGGGCATCTTAGTAAAGATACAGTATTTGTTCATTATAAGCTTATATTTTTGTACTATGATGGTAAGAAATACATGTTTTGTAAGTAATAAGTATTTTATCAAGGCCTTACACAATCTTAACAACGAACAAAAATATATAATTTGTGTAAATATAATACATGAACAAATGACTCAAAGTGTTCATATCAATATTTCACACACAGAAGGACACATGTTCATTGCATTAACTGGCATCATTGTTTCTGCTTATTAACAATACTCTATTCTAAGCAGTATAACATGTTGTAAGACGGCTGTGAAAACTTCTACTGAATACAAGATTGTTCGATACACAATTTACTGAATATTATGATATTCCAATGATTCTTAATACTTGAAAAAATATTGAAGTTGACTTAGCAATGTATTCACTGCAAGTATGTTTTCTATGTGGTACGAAATCGACTATTTCTGACACAACAAATACTTACAGCACCAGACACAGACAACTCTTTGGTCACCATACTGAGGCTGTGACTAGACTTGTTTGTGTATCTATCGTCATCTATTACTAAGTTACCTTTAAATCCTTCTTGCTATTACTTTCTCTCTATTTGTTTGTATTTTATTATTGGTTGTTTGCAATGTAAAAAAGTCTCATCAATATTATCATTAGTAGTAGTAGTAGTAGTAGTGATATACATTACTATTATTAGTAATAATAGTAGCTTTAAATTATTACTACTATTATTATTCTTACATAAAACACAATAAGGAAAAAATTAGTTTTCATTTAACAAAAATGAAAACGATTCTTGGAGTATAATGTGAAATGTTAACGGCCACGTCTCTCTCTCTCTCTCTCTCTGGCTAAAGAATAGTCAAATTACTGTTGCTTAGCGGAATAGAGCCTGACGACAACACCGCTGTTACCAACCCACCCCCCATGTAATGTCAAGGAGTGGCGTGACTCGTTTTATGTAATGTGAGTGTCTTCATAACTTGAAATAACATAACTTGACCGTAAGCCTATTTATAGATAAAGGCACTTGACCTTAGACAACGAGGCGGAGAGACACTCGAAAAATTTGAGATAATAAATGATGGCGTTTCATGGTGTCTGTACTGTAGGTGAGGGTGAGGGGAACTTTTTATCCCCATCCCTCCCTCCCCATCCCCTCTCGTCGACCTTGTTTATATAGGTGGGTGGTAGGTGAGCCACTCCTTACTCACTCGTCCGCTAGTACTCGTCCCAGTGTTGTCCTCCGTTACCCACGACCTATTGTACACCACCCACCACAACCACCATGAAAGGGGTGCTACTTCTGGCGCTCCTTGGTAAGTCTGAGAATAACTTTAAATGCTTGCAATACAATATCACAGCTTATTTAACTTAACATGATCAAACTTAATTCATCCTGCTGTGAAGGGTATCTAACTTACAATAATGGAAGAGTGAAAATAGTCATAATGCCTCCTTCAGTATCAAGATAATGTTTACAGTGTATTCTACCTGCTTTTCTTCCCTTTAAAGTGTCATTAAAGAATAATTAGACAAAGCAATTTGACTCGGTAATATCTTCTTGCGTCGATTTTCGCTTGCTTACGGTTTTGAATATTTTTTCATTTAACTAAAAGATTACTACTACTACTACTACTACTACTTCGAGTAAAATATCTAACATTATTTGTTTAGCGAACGTGTTTAGAGTGATTTAGTTTAGCGGAAAATTAGCTTGTGGGATTTTGCCCAATAACAATAAATAGTGAGATATTTTATAATGCACAGTTGAGAAGATGGAGTAAGAACAATGAACTAACTATGATGATATAATGCTTAAACACCTATCTGAATTACTGGAACATTCATGCACATCGACATACTGTAATTGACTCACAACTAGATATACAGCATAAGGCTTATTGACTATTGTATAGTGTAAGTACTGAATTAGTTAAACCCCTTAAAATTCAATTCTGAAAGAAAAGTATATTTTAACAAAAAAATTACTAAGGTTTTGGCCCAAAATTAGATCTTGTTTAGAATCACATTATAGGTACTCCTGAGTATGTTGATTTCGAATACTGTATATGGTCCATGATTCGATTGTGGGCTAATTAGAGGTTGCAATGATGTTTGGAAAATTTAATGACATTTTTCAATGCTAATTACTCGCCAACTATGGGTTTCCAAAGTGCTATTCTGTTGTTAATGTATTATTCTGTAAGTACTTAATTAGTTAAACCCTTTAGATTTCAATTTTGAGCGAATAGTATATTTGGTCGAAAAATTACTAAGGTGTAAGGCTTAAATTTTCGATAGTTTTGGCCCAATATTATTGTACATTTTGATGAATATCACATTATACAGTAAGTACTCCTGAGTATGGTGATTTCGAAAATACGGCCCACGATTCGATTGCGGGGGTAATTAATAGTTGTAATGACGCTTTGAAAATTTAATGAAATTTTTTAATGCTAATTACTTGCTAACTATATGGGTTTCCAAAGTGCGAATTTGGTGTTAATGTGTTATTCTGTACTATACTCTTTCCAGCTAACCTGGCCCATAAGCCACGCCCCTCTTCTATACTAATAGCTGATTGGTTCATAGAAAATTCAAACTAAATGTGTTCACAATAGGTAAGCAGACCTGTTATTATCTAAAATAATTTTAAATATCTGGACTATCAAAATGCAAATGATTTCAAGGCATTAGCACTTCAGAGAGGATGTTAGAACATTTTAAATATATATATCATAAAAGGTCGATTTATACATGCGCTTATATACGCGCAGTTCGGGGGGAGGTAAAACGCTCAGGGGAACCTTTCAGCTATTTGTAGCTATAGACGAGGGTGAAAATACTATAGTTATTAATAATGGTTGCCCCTCGTGTAACGAGGATGGCCGGCGCAAGGGCCACCTATTCACCTAAGCGTGAGTTTCTTTAAGGCGTAGAAACTGTAGCCATCACAACAACAACACCCTAAGTTAACGAGTTGCACGACCCATTGACCCAGTGTCAAGGAATAGTCCGAGAAGACCGGACAACTCGCTAACTATTACCCCGGAATACGATCCGAAAATCGATTCACATCCAGGTTCCCAATTACTGCTGGGTAGTGTTACGAACCCCGCCACCAATTGTCATGATCTACCTACCCAGCACTACGAACCACGCCATCTATTGTCCTGATCTACCTACCCAGCACCACGAGCAACGCCATCTAGGGACGAAACACGAGTATGACTCGTCTTAGTTACCACTCCGGGGTTTCCCTTCTCCATATCCTGGTTGTTGCGTCACCTCCTCAAAGTCTTCTTTGTCAGCTCCAGTTCGAGGAGAGTTGAGTTCACTCTGGGAAGTGACCACAGGATCACCTATCCTGGAAACCTACCGCACAGTGACTACCTACCGTCTTCTACAATACTCAGCCTTGCTCGTCAGCCATCTCAGCTCCGCACTTAAGTATTTGTAATCTTATATTGCCTCCCCCACCTCCACCTTGCTTCAAATTATTGTATGTTGTATAAATATGTATATACTGTTAATGTTTAAGTTAAGTATGGTTAAGGGTAATTTATAGGAAGCTGAATATTTTGTTAAGGAATTTATGGTACTTTATTATACACAACAAAAACTCGCATCCTTTGTCTACCCTTTTATAGTCCGATTGTCTTTGGGGGTTTTTTTTGTTGCCTGTTGGGATCTGGGTAGACTTTTAACTATATTCTAAATCCCTAACTCGTAACAGTAGACAGAAGCAAATGGCATAAGAAAACTTGTCCAAAGTTTCACCCAAACCTGGATCGAGCCAGGGTCCGCTCGCTTCCGAGGAGAGCATGTTGACCATTACTTCACAGATCGTCACATGCTTTAGTTATACCCGACTGTACTTACACTAGACCTGCAGTAGCCTCCTTTCCTACTAGTTATCTTAATGTGCTTATCGTCTTGACTAATAACTGTATCCTATCATACTTACCGATTCTTGTATCCTACTGTAACTAGTGTTCTTATTAATCATTATTTCCTACTATACTATTCATATTGATTTATGAATAACTGCGCCCGGCTGTCACTACAAATTATTGTATCCTATTTTATTATTGTTCCTATAACTACTACTGTTTCTACCTCTGTCGTTTCAGTGTTTACTGATTACTGTATCTTGGTGTATTTGTTTGTATTTATCAATTTATTTCCTACTTTTTTTTCTGTTTATTTTATTCTTATGAACTCGTATTTCTTGCTTTCTTTCCTTCTAGTTTCAGACGAAGGGGTCACTCCTGTATATACTGTACTCTTCTTTATAAACTTAATGGGCAATAATGATTGCCCGATCTATCATCGAGTATAATCGGTACTAAATCGGGCTGAATAGTGGAGCTACTACATAGACGTACACAAACAATATATTCAGTTGCTATTTTAATTTTGTCTCTAATTCACACCTTGCCTTACGACTGTCCTTATTATACCCTAAAATTATTATTTATTTATTTATTTATTTATTATTATTATTATTATTATTATTATTATTAGTGACACGAAAAAGTCAATAACACTTTGGTTGTGACGGCAGGTAATAGCACTTAAGTGTGTTATCTCCACAGGGTCGTGCTGGGGCTTAGAGGCAGGCTTGGAGTACCAGTACAAATACAGTGGTCGAGTAGCGTCAGGAATTCCCGACCTTATGGACCAATACTCTGGTGCAGGTATCAAGGCTGACGTCACTGTTCAGGTCACCAGCGAGCGCAAGACGTTCTTCCAGGTAAGTAAAGGGTGGGAAGAGAGAAGGTTAGGTTTTACTCCACCTCGGAAACACACCTAAGTCACTAACATGAGCAAATTTGTCTATAGAGGTTAAATGTTTCCTTATCTCATGAGAAGGCCAAAAATTTTACGAGGAATATTTTTACATAATAATTTATTTTTATGCTTATTTTTTTCGCTCTGACAGTAATGCTACGACTCCGTTGTTCACCGTATACATCCGGTAAGTTTTGTTCAAGCCTCAAGAACGCTTCTCCGTTTCCTTTACAAAACAATATTTAACATTCAACTAAATTCAAATCTTGCGTAATTCATACATCAAAATCTTGCACAGAATAACAACTTACAAGATTTATCGACCATAAAATGTACCAACCTAACCTACAGTACCTAACCTATCCTAATCTACTTACCCTAACCAGGATAAGCTGTTAGGTAGTTAGGTTGCTTCATTTTATCGCCGATATCACATAATGTAACAGTATTTAAGTTTTTGTAAGTTCAAACGGTAGGTCCATCGACGTACATTAGAGTTTATGACGGAAAAAATCATAAAACAAATAATATTACGAAAAACGTTCTCTTCGTAAAGGTTTTGGCCTTCTCAATTTGGGGGGCTTAGGTGTGATGCCGTGGTCAATTATTACCGGGTTCTAGATTGGTTGGTAATGTTACTCGTGCGTATTAATATGCGTTGTATTATAGGCAAAGAGTATCTATGACGTATGGGGGAATTACGACTGACAAAAACATCTATAAATCTGCTCAAACTTTCAGAGACACATTGAATGTATCTCCAAAACTTTTCATGAAAATTACTGAAGCTCATTGCAGCTTTGTTAATCTTATTTCTCATAAGGCTTAATTCCCAAACATCAAACCCGTTGTAAAAGTTATAGTATGTTATTATAGATTTATCCTTCTTAGTAAAATTAACATTTACTTTTTTTAACAAAAACAGAAAATTATTTTAAGGTCGACAAGTGAGTTCATATCGTTTTTAAGATTTTGACCCAATCAGGCTTGTAGGGTTAATCATCTTTGCCAATTGACCTGACAGTTCAGCAACATCCAAGTGGGAGAATTTCACGATAAACTGGAGTGCGACACTCGGTCACCGCTACCCATCCAGTACCACCCGCTGGAGCAAGGCAAGGACCTACTCGAGATGCCCTTCGAAGTTAGCTTTACGCAGCCAGAGGTAAGTTAAAAGGGAGAAACAAAGTGACAGAAAATGAAAAGAAAATCGATAAGGAAGTAACCGTTTGTTATATGCAAATACAAAATTTAATTCCTACCAGTTAAATGCCTAACTTGACCTCTGGTGATTGCTCCTCAGGGCACGGAATTCCTAAATGCGCCTGAGGAACCAGTCTGGATCACCAACATCAGGAAGTCTGTTGTCAACATCTTCAGGATCCCTCCAGTTATGGTGAATATTAATTCCTATGTTTGTAGTTATGTCTCAGTACTCTGTCACATTTAAAGGCCCCCCCCTCCTACACACATACATGTATATTTAGTTAGAGATATATAGGACAATGGATCTAATCAGTAGTAATATTATATCAAAAGATCCCAGTAGAGTTTCTTCACACACCTTCCTTCTGTTCATCCTCAGATCACCTACGGTAAGGGCCAGCAAGCCTTCAAAAAGCCTACTTTCTTTGAGAATGAACTTGGGATGGCCGGACGCTGTAGGAACTGGTAAGTTTGGGGGAGATAGTTCATTAAGAGGGAGAAAGTGTGAGAAATAAAATCGGTTTTGAAGAAAATGCTCTTTGTTTTATTAAACAAAGTTAAATAGAATATAGGATTATTCAAATAATGATTCCAAGTTTCATTTTTTTAGCAGGTTTCAGAGTTTATAACATTCACACCTTTCATACCTTCATTTAATTTAGATTTGCCCCTTTCACACCTATAGGAGCTTTTTTGATGTAAAGTTCACTAACACTCGCCGCTTCCTCAGCTTCACAAACTTAACTGATCCAGAGTTGATCTACCCTCAATATCTTTCATACTTTTGGATATTTTTTTTTACCAGTTAACTCTCGCACACTTCACACCTTCAAGAAGTTCTCACCCAAAGTTGATTAACACTCCTACCTGGAAATCTTTAAAATTGGGGATAACTTTATATTCACACCTTTCTCTTTTCAGGTACTCCCTTATTTGTATCCCCCAAGAACAAACTGTTATGGAAGAACACCAGCGGGAAGCAGTAATTGAACAGGACATCCAGAGACATTACATGACCGGCGGGTAAGATGAACTGTGGTGAAATTCCTTTAAGTTGTTCGATTTATTTATTTATTTATTTATTTATTTATTTACTTGTTTATTTATTTATTGTTTGATTGAATGATTTATTGATTGATTGATTGATTGATTGGCAGATTAATTGACAGATTAAATGATTAAGTGCCGCTTCCCCCAGACAACATAGAATTTCTGGGAGTGTGGAGAGAGTAGTAACATGGAGTGAACATACAAATTAACTATAGATATGGAAGTAATCTCGTTGGTCATAGGTTTCACATGTCCGTGTAGTCCTGGTCTTAGCCTAGTCACTTGTTTACACACCCATCACGTGGTCCTAGTGGGCTAGGTCTCTCAGCTCACAGGGTGTTGGAGAGGGTTCTCGTTTCTTATCTGATGGTCATGGGAATTATCATTTCTCGTCAATCTTGTTGGAAATTCTAAGTTCTCACTCGCTGGAGTTAAGAGCCCACATTTCTCACCTGGTATAATGTAAATTCTTTTTATCTCAACTGGTGTAGCTTGGAGCCTAGGCTTCACATCTGGTGTTAGTATGATGGTGGGTAGTAAGGTGTGGGTGGGACGTGTCCACCTGACTGTAGGGCATCAGCTTGTCACTGTCTAGCACTTGTTTTCATTCCCCTGAGTTGAAATTGTCACCTTTGTTTATCAGTTGTGGGGTGTTCGTCAGTCTTTGCAATGCATTGTTGGTAGGAGGATGTTGATACTTCCTGGCCGGGAGGAGAAAATGAGGGAAGGGGCCCGACAGACAGGCCCTGTGTGTTTGTATGTGCAGGACTGCAGGTTTATAAGTATGGGCTAATTGTTATGTCGAATCTCACTGCTTAGAATGTTTGAATATGCCGTGAGTTTTTTATACAAGTCAATCAAATATATTTTTTTAATGTGAATCAGTCAGACTGCAAATTAGCTAAAGTAAATTCAATAAATTAAAGAAATCGATACATTGGTTATGCCTACAGTATTTAGTTGAAGGTTAAAATAGGACCCCAAGACTATATAATATTGCCTAAGTTTTATGAGCCACTAGATGGATACAACTCTCTCTTTTGTCCTCAGGGTCTCTGGTTCGTGTTCGGGTTAGATTAGGTTAGGTTACATACCAAACTTTACAGATGGGGACGTAAACACGGTCGAAAACATTCCCGACTACACCTACAGTACTATAACCGCAAAGCCTTTAACGAGCTGTTATGCCTATAGATCTTATGTTCACGTTCACAAACACAAATTAAGCAAAAAATAAATTTATTCGTTATTATTATTTCGTGGCAGTCTAAAATAATTTATATTGCTTCAGAATTTCAGCAGCAAAGAAGAGTGTCTCTAAAGGGTCAAAGAAAGGTGCCAAGAGTTCGAAAAGGATAGGAAGGTACCGCAATCTTCACCCCATCCATGAAACTCTGTGGTCGCTTACTCGAACAATCGACTACGACTCCTGTGATAAAGAAGAACTTGTCGCCATGAAGGTAATTTTGTTTCTCCTGTGTTGTTTTCGTTATACTAAACAGGAGAAACAAATATTAAGTGGGCAATGGTTCCAAGGGGACAGGATATTGTGTAATATGCCTCAGATATTTTAATTATCACTTCCCCAACTTTCCTAGAGTAACAAAGGTGTTAGTCAGGACAAGAAGTCTCTAAAGGAAGGCAGTTACTTTCAAACGTAAACTAGTATTTATTTTTCTACCACATTCTTAATATCTCTTTACTATTTCTTCATTTCCTATCAAGTTTCAAATGTACAAGATATTTTTTTCAGTTCCACGGCAACAGTAAGACGGACTCAAGCATCCGTCGAACCTCCATCGGAACATACCTTGTGCGTGGTGACCAACCTGGAGCCCGTATTGAAAGGGCAGTGATCGAGGGCTCTGTCTCCGTGTTCACCAGCGACAAACAACACGAGCACTTTGATACCTTCACCAACCAGGTACACCACCCCGCTATATATATATATATATATATATATATATATATATATATATATATATATATATATATATATATATATATATATATATATATATATATATATATATATATATATATATATCATTCCATTTCACTACTTATGATCTTTGTCTTACAAGGAACTCTGTGTTTCAGGCGCTGGAATTGAAAATAATGAAGAATTCTCTCTCTCATAGCATCTCGTGTTTCAGACCTTAGAGCTGCGAGGAGTGAGAACAATTGAGACCGAGATGAACGTTGAGTACCAGAGCCATTCCCACTACTTCCAGTATGAGGTTCACCATCGCCTTACCGACCTCAGGGTAAGTTTTTGTCTCCCTTCAGTTGTTGAATATAAAATTATGAAATAGAAAACAGATTAAAATGTAGGAAAAAATCTAATTAAATTGGATAACTAAGGAGAAAAATGCAATTAAAAGATATCGGTTGTTGAATATGATAATATAATGTAAAATAGAATATTATGAGTTGATTAAAAGTAGGGAGAAAAGACCAAAATATTAAATAATATAAAATTTTAAAATTAGAGAAAAAATCAAACCAAATTGAAAAAATGGAGAACAAATTAAACACCAGAGAAAAAACACAAAATCGATCAAATTAGAATAAGATGTAGGGAGAAGCTGAATAAAGGAGAGTAAATAATAATAACACAAGTATTAGAAACTAAAAGAATTCATAAAATTAATGATTTATAATATTAAAAAATTAAATCTCACTCACAAAGGTAAATAAATAGATGAAAGATTAAATGATAAATGAAAAAGTAAGCAAAGCAAATTAATAGAAAGATAAATACACTGGTCTCTATTGGAAACATTTGGTGTATATTTTTAATGAGGAAACCCACATCTATTTTGGTCAAGGCGAGGGTCAGTTTCATCAGATGAGACTCTGAAATTGGTAGAATTGCAATTTTTTTACGTTTACTGAAAAATAAATTCTAATTATACCTTGTACGTGATGATTTCAAGTTGTGACGAGAATAGGAATATTTTCCCTAATTGTGTGTGTGTGTGTGTGTGTGTGTGTGTTCCTCGTTTATTAACAAATGGTATTGGTTGTGGTGGCAGGAGAGGGGAGACGAGACTCACCCCAACCTGGAGCAGGCCGTCACAGGCGTCCCAATCACCAGTCAACTGATTACCGAGATCAAGGTGAGTTGTTTACCACCTCTGCCCTCAGTCCCTCTCACACAGTCCTCACATGATACCTGAAAACCTTCACCCATAATCTTACTATGGCACCAAACTCCTGTCTGATATGTATTGATTTCGTTTTGGTTTTGTTTTTAATAACTATACAGGGGTTGAGGCACTACCACCTGTGGCTGGTTGCGTTTGGAAGACCTTCGCCCAGAGAGAAGAAAGGGGTTTGTTGGCGGGAAATTAGGACTATTTTTCCAGAACTACGAAGATAGATTTTTTTTCCTTCACCACTTACTTTTTTTTCTATATTTTACATAATCTCTATTTATTTTCCAATCCATAAAAGCTTGCATATCATAATTCAAGGAAACCCTGGAGCTCCCCAGGTGAGGGAGTAGATCCCAGTATTTTTATTTTATTTTTTTTCTACGGGGATTAGCCCACCCGGGCACAGGTCACTGACCCACATCGGGTATCTGAGGGGCATAACAATTAATTATAATAATAATAATAATACTACGTGGCCTCCAGCCTCCCCCAATAGCCACACCTTCGCCACCATTTAATTACCTTAATATTAAATATCCTAATACATAAGTAGCTATCCTATCTGTGTTGAATTAGTTGAGCCGCAGATCTATGCGGCAATCAGTGACTGTAGCCTCATACTACTACTACTACTACTAATAATAATAATAATAATATTAATAATAATAATGATAGTAATACTACTACTACTAATAATAATAATAATAAGGAAATACAAAATAATTTTTTTTTAGTTTAACAAATTGATTAACAAAGCTTGTAGTACAGCGTGCCTATTCTGAGTAATTCAGTCAGGTCTTGACAACAAAGTGTGGTATCACTTCTCACTGCCACGCAGGACAGAGGTTCATACACAAAAAAAAATACATCATATTCATTAACCGCTATATATAGAGGTCAGTTTCATTTGGGTCACTGCCATGCAGGACAGAGGTTCGTACACACATAAATGCATAATATTCATTGACATTATATATAGGTCAGATTCATGTGGGTAATGTCACTGTTCACTGCCATACAGGACAGAGGTTCTGAATGAAAAAAAAGATCAAAAGTGAGAAACAATATATGTATGTTGTGTTGTCAATTGTAAGAGAAACAATTGAGACCCTGCAATTGTGTGTAAATGAGGCAGAAAGTCAGATCAGCAACCTGAGACTTGGTCACAATTTTTGTGATGCAATATGGCAGTAGGGTCTACCATTAGACAACACATTATGCTTCCAATATCTTCCCAGGCGGTAGTACCTCCCTGTTTGGTAGTTGCCTGTACGTAAGCAGCTACCAAACATTGCTGCCCTCCATGCTCCACCTACACTCTGGAGGAGATAAGTCGGCACTAACGTATGTCTCCCAGAGAGTAGGTAGAGCGGGTCAGTTTGTATGAATGAACATAAATTAATGAAATGTCTTCTTCTCAGGAGATGATCGTGAGTGGGCTGAAAACTGTAGCGTCCAGAATGTCTACGACGCCCCACAGCACTCAACCCCTGGTGCGGGAGCTGAGTATACTGGTGGAGGCTGTGGCAACACTTACCCGACAGGAGATAGACTCTGTCTACTCCATGATAACACAAGACGAGCTCTACGATAAGAAGACGTAAGAGCCACATTTGTTACGGTGACTGTAGGGTTTTAATTTTGTTCCATGATGAAACGTTGAAAATTGGTTACGAACTTGATATAATACAAATATTTTTTCTGAAAAGTTCATGTGTTTCCAGTGTTCGATAAAATTTATATGTTGCATTTTACGCTTAAAGTTGTTGACATGTAAATAGTGTTTTTTACAAATACAAAATTCGTAAAGACGAGGCAATAAGAGGGCTGATACCCGAGTTACCATTTTTCATCGTATCTAGGCTCATCTATGAAGTTCACACACACACACACACACACACACACACACACACACACACACACACATACATATACACATTCATACACACACACACACACACACACACACACACAGCAGCTTTATATTTTTTTTATCGTTTCCAGGCGTATTTTCTACGAGATTCTCATGACAGCGGGGACTGAGCCAACCATAAACTACCTGATAGAAGCTATGGATGACCAAACCATCAGACAAGATTTCTACTCAGTCTTCATAACCTTCTTTGAGAAGATTCAAACCACGATGAAAAGTTCCTTCAGCATTCCGAAACTAATGGTACGATTTTTGTAATTTTGAGTCTTGTTTTGAGTACTGTGTCGGATGGTAGGGTAGGATGCAGGAATTGTTGGTGTTTAGTCTGTTTCAGAGAAGAAGGAGAGAGAGAGAGAGAGAGAGTTGCATTTTTCATGTTTCTTTAAGATTTGGATACGGTGCTCGCCAACTGTTCAAAAGCTTATTGGTTTCCTACTAGTGGAGGTGTGTGTGTGTGTGTGTGTGTGTGTGTGTGTGTGTGTGTGACTTTTCATTCTTTTTTTTATTACATATTTTACGGTTACCAGTCAGGAACACGAAAGTCTGCATTAATCTATTTTATTATAAGAAAGTTTGTGTTCCATAAAATAAAATTTCACATCAGTGTTTTTAATGGAAGAACATTAATATAATAATCTTGCAAAAAGTTTTAGTTAGGGAATGATTAATATTTTCAGGTTTTTATAAAATAATTTGACACAGCAAATTTAATGGACGGTTCACATTAACGAAGACACTTTTTATGATTTTTTTTTTCAGGAAGTGGTCAACAAGCTCACCTGGGATAACGAAGAAAGGTATATCAAAAGCATCGCGCTGCTAAACTTCGCCAAATTAGCCCACCAGGTGTGTCTCAGCCCTGACAAGTGGCATTCATTTGGCGACGATTCCTGTGTACCAGATCACTCCTGTTCCCCCGACCTCATCCTCAACGACTTTCTGCCAATACTGGTGCAAGGACTACAGGTGAGTTTATTTCCATAGGTCCATATCCGGTGTAAGTTATACGCTGGTTATGTTCGATTCCTCACATTGCTCATGGTGTAAGATGTCCACAGGCTAAAGGATTTTCATACAATCTCCGCTTTGCAAAGTAGAAATATGTGTTGACTTCCATAATTACCTGAAATTGACTGCGTTAGAGTGATAGAATTAAAAACTCTCGGAATATGATACAAATAATCAACTCGGTAATTTGTACATGTAATAGTGTTAACGCAAAATGTTTCACGGATTTGGTACTTTTTAGGACACAGATTCTCCCACCTGGAAGAGACTGGTGTACCTACAAGCCCTAGCCAACCTAGGAACACCTCAAATCATCGACGTCCTGAAGCACATAATTCTTGGCGATACTGAATCTCATTTGGCTCTCAGGATGAACGCCTGCTTTAGTTTGAGCTCCACGAACTTGCCTGAAACTGCTCATAGCACGGTAAGGTTTTTTACTGTCTTTTACATTTTCAAATAATTGTATAAAAGAAAGGAACTGCAGTATTCAAGCCTTGTAAATACAATTGCATAAATTTTTTTTTTTCCTCCTTGATATTTGTGACATATAACCACTGTCCTCCCTCAGTAAATCTTCGTTACGGCATTTTACATTTACAGGTGTTCGATCTCTTGATGCCTGTATTTGAGAATATCGGTGAAAACTACGAAGTCCGAAACATTGCCTTCCTTACCATGGTCATGTGGCAACCTAGTGTCAACTGGTGGGAAAGAATGGCCGTCTCAACTTGGCATGAGCCTTCCTCTCAGGTGGCCAACTTCATCTCTACCACCATCACCTCCCTCGCTAATGGAAAACATCCTTTGTAAGTACCAAGAAATCGATATTCTCTTTACCACTTATCCCTATTCGCCTCTTGACCCAGAGCGTGCTTGAGTACCAAGAACTACAAATTCTCTAGACCTTTCATTCTCATTTAGCTCGTGGTTAAGAAATCGCACAAGAAACAACACCTGTGTCTTCTCATTACTGTCCATCCTAACCCTCTAGGGATAAACATTGCATTGAACAAAAGTCCTACTATCACAACTTTCAAAATGAGATTTAACTTACAGGTCCATGAGCGCCTCCCGGGTGGTCCACCTAGCAAAGCCTCCCACCACACTGTCTCTCACCCACTCCTCCATGACTTATCTAAGTGAATATCTCCATAACTGTGAGGTGAGCCATAAATATCCTCAACGAAGTCTTGGTATTCTAAGGGATCTGTACATAAGATTTTCGATGTGGTCGTACTATAGTCGGTTATGTGAAATGATTTCTTCAGCAAGGAGACAACACCAACAATTCATGCATATTATTTTAGCCCTTGTTAATGGAGAAAATACGTATGTCATAAAATAATATAAAATAATTAGAACCTATACGATTTATTTTCTAATGAATTCAACAACAGTATAAATTAATTTAGAAATTCTGTAATGAAATAAGTTCCAACTCTATTAATTGTTAAGTATCTCGCGTTCTTTTCTTCATGGAGAACACATATTTATGTTACTCAAATCTTAGTTACCCCAAAAAAATTTATTTCTCAGAATTATTAAGTCTATGACAAACGAAACCCATAACATTCTACCATATCATTGCCGGATTTAGACTACCAAAGTATTATATAATCTTGACTACCATAGTATTATATAATTCAGACTGCCATAGTATTATATAAGTTAGACTACCATAGTATCATATAATCTAGACTACCAAAGTATTATATAATTTAGACTATCATAGTATTATACTATTTAGACTACCATAGTATTACATGATTTAGATTCCAATACAGTTATACATTAGTTAGACTCTTACCATAGCATTGTCATCTCTGAATCACCTAAACAACAGCACTGTTATCTCTGAATCACCTAAACAACAGCACTGTTATATCTGAATCACCTAAACAACAGCACTGTTATCTCTGAGTCACTTAAAAACAGCACTGTTATCTCTGAATCACCAAAGCAGCAGCACTGTTATCTCTGAATCACCTGAACACCAACACTGTTATCTCTGAATCACTTAAGCTCCAACACTGTTATCTCTGAATCACTTAAATACCAACACTATTATCTTTGAAACACTTAAACACCAACACTGTTATCTCTGAAACACTTAAGCACCAGCACTGTTCTATATGAATCACTTAAACACCAGCACTGTTATCTCTGAATCACTTAAACACCAACACTGTTATCTCGGAATCATACCTAAACTGTTACCTCTGAAAAGATTTAAGAAAACTGTAAGAAAACTGAAGCCTTAATTGGAATCCTAACGGGATATTTATTTACTTGCAGACCAATAGTCGAATCAGCTTCGGGTGGTTGGCCAACACCCAGGGATTTTTCCCCAACAAGATTCTATTTTACCTGCAGATGAACACCTTCTTTGGCTTCACCAGTGAATATAAGGTTTGTTCATAAACATCAATGCATGCAGTCAGTCATACATGTATTTTGTGTGTGTGTGTGTGTGTGTGTGTGTGTGTATTCATGTGGTTTCATGTATAAGTGTGAGAATATAGTAATCATGTCCATAACTAAACACACAAACAAAGGTGCCCTGAAATAATAGATCAATCAAATAATTTTAATGCAAATAAGTTCTACATATTTACTCGTGTTTCATAAATTCGTTTTCTTTATTATTTCCATTTCAGGCAACGCTTGATCAACAAAACCTAGATGAGGTCTGGAGGAAATTCTATAATTACTTCTACATAGAAAAACACCATGCGGGTCAGTATAGAGGAGGAGCTTTTCAGATTGTTCAACAGCTGTACATAGAACTCAAGGTAAGGTGAAATCTGGCTTCGCCTGTTGCTATATCTATGTACAATACATGAAAACAGGGAACCAGTTTAGGTGCAGTGCAAATATCCACCTATATTTACCTGTGATTATTAGTAATTTTAGTTGCTATAATAATAATAATAATAATAATGATAATAATAATGATAATAATGATGATGATGATGACAAATCCATCAACAGCAATAATTTCCAGATTAAAATATTTTCATTTTATTTTATTTTTACTCACATTTAACAATTATCATCTCCGTTATGTTTTTCATTCATATCTAGGAGACAAACAGTCGTCAAGACGATCATTACCACGATGACTCAAACAACTGAAAACATTACCTCTAAAATTTAAGCCTTATTCATAAAACTTATACCATCAATATTTTTTACCTTTCATCAAATAGTTACCCAAGTTCTTATTTCATTGTATCGGTTCCGTTTTCTATACGTTCACATCCGGAAAAAAATAAACCACAACAAAACAATGTTGTTGACAGGAGCAACTAGGAGTGGAGACTTCTCTACCCTCCTCTGACATCAACCTATGGTTCAGAATAGGTGAAGCTTTTTACTCTGCCGAAAACCAAGGTGAGTGTTATAGTACATGAGTGAGCGTCCAATAGAAGGTGGGAAATGTCTTGTAGGCGTTGTAGCACCTTAGACAAGTTCCATGCCGTCTTGCTTCTCGGCTTTATATGTTTCTCTTTGAAGGCTCAGTAGATTATATAACCAAACCAACATTTTCAACTCAAAGGTGAATTCTTTCTTTACACACTGACCTGTACAATGTTCCTGTTACTAATACACAGCGCACGTACACAATCCAAAAAGTATGTTTACAGTTTTGTGGTAAACACTATGACCAAACAGATGAAGGATTTTGACAACCCTACCGAGACAACAGGTGGCACAGTGTTCATTTTAAATCCATCGAACCCATCCGTAAATATAATTTTTTTTATTGTGTACATGTCTGAGTCCATTTTAGTACCAAGTGTATGCATACAGATCAAATTGAAAGTAAGAAAAAATTGCAGAATCTATATTTGTACTTAAATCTACACTTAAATTTCTGAATATGTTTTCTGATATTATTACTACACCATGTTTATGTAGTCGTAAATTAAACTTGAAAATATACTCCTTATTCTGATAACATTTGCATCATAAACATATATTTTTTGCAGAAAACGACGGGAATTTCCCCCTCGATATATCTTTCATCAAGGAGGCACTTCCTATCTTGTCCAACTTGCCACATATCCAGCGATCTGTGGACTATACCGAGGTGCTGCCTACTGACCTTGGCTTGCCCTTCTTTGTACAGGTAAGTCGCTCAAAATCTCTGCTGGGTTCTCCTTACCTCCCATAGATATTCAGTTGTCCACGAACTGATTAATTTACCCTTAAAATATAATTTTATCCTTGGCGAGTATAAGCTTTCATATACTTGGCAATGTACCAGACAATGAAAGAAAAAAGGTCGCTTAAAAACTGGGGGGAAACTAATTTCATCTTGTGATATTATCAATTAGTTTATCTCCATTAGTGAGTGAGCAGTTAGATCTCTCTCTCCATAGCCAGCAAGTTATATTGTTTTCCTTAATTTACTAGTTACTAGTATTTTCTTCACATAACCAACAAGTTATTAGTAGTTTTATGTATAATCAACAAGTTGTTAGTAGTTTCATGGACAATCAACAAGTTATCACTCTTCAATGGTCAACAAATAACCAACCTATTGTTCCTTAGACTGGCAATGACACCATCCACACAAACTCCTTCATTATGTTTTAAATAATGGACGTAATTTGTATCTCGTAGATTAAAAAAATAATAATTACGTTTATGCATTTTTATGATTTTTTTTGTCCTTCCCACAGTACACTCAACAATCGGCTTACTGGTTCAACTGGAAGGTGACCGATATGGAAGCTGACATGAGAATCAAGAAGTTTAAGGGAGATCTTTCTTTACTTTTGGAGTAAGTGCTTAGCTTATACTGAGGCTAAGAGAGAGAATTTTATACCTACTAGCTTGAGTGTTGATACCTGCAGCATGAGTGTCTATACCTGCAACTTGAGTGTGTATACCTGCTGCTTGAGTGTCTATAGCTCCAACTTGAGTGTTTATACCTGCTACTTGAGTCTTAATACTTGCTACTTAAGTATGTTTACCTACTAATTTGGGTGTTGATACCTGCAACTTCAGTGTCTATACCTGCTACTTGAGTGTTAATATTTGATACTTAAGTGTGTATACCTATAGCGTCTGTGTTTATACCTCCATCCTAAATAGTTTCACCGGTAACCTCAGATATTATACCAGAAAGCTGTTTATATATATATATATATATATATATATATATATATATATATATATATATATATATATATATATATATATAGATACACACACACATCCGGGCTGCTCTTTCGCTAGGCCACGGTAGGACGACACCCTCCGAGAGGCTCCACAGTGTCTCAATGTAGTGCATTAAGGTTTTTGCTTTGATCCTGACTTTGAACTCGTCAGAAGGCATGTTTTCCAGAGCATTTTTAAATGACTGTACATACGTGTTGCGCTCATGCAGTATTTCTTGGATAGAGAGGACAATGTCATGTTTGACACCTTGAATGTTGTCACACCTGATAGAAGTCTGTTTTTCATGATCTCCCATGAAGTAGATTTGGAGGAACTTTTCCTGCTCATCTTCCAGTGGTAAGAGGGATCCTGCCTTGTGATAGACTTGACCCTGGACTTTGAATGTACGAACTACCTTATAAATCTAAAGGATAATCTGAAGCATGAATTGTACTCAGTATTTTCCCTGAGAAAGGTTTTAATTTGGTGTTCCTATATTTAAATTTCATGAGAGTTACAACAGTCCAGATTCCCTCCTTTTTACTTTGCACCGCACTTATTCACATTTCATCCGGGCAATGACAACAGAGGGACACTTTTCATATTCTATATATATAATGATCATCCATCATCACTACATATAACACCATCCATCATCACTACATATAACACCATCCATCATCACCACATATAACACTACCCATCATCACTACATATAACACCATCCATCTTCACTACATATAACACCACCCATCATCACTACATATAACACCATCCATCATCACCACATATAACACCACCCATCATCACTACATATAACACTACCCATCATCACTACATATAACACTACCCATCATCACTACATATAACACCATCCATCATCACTACATATAACACCACCCATCATCACTACATATAACACCATCCATCTTCACTACATATAACACCACATCCAGAATTACCATATATATAACATCATCCATCACTACATATAACATCATCCATCATCACTACATATAACACCATCCATCATCACTACATATAACACCATCCATCATCACTACATATAACACCACCCATCATTACTACATATAACACCATCCATCATCACTACATATAACATCATCCATCATCACCACATATAACACCATCCATCATCACTACATATAACACCATCCATCATCACTACATATAACACCATCCATCATCACTACATATAACACCACCCATCATTACTACATATAACACCATCCATCATCACTACATATAACATCATCCATCATCACTACATATAACACCATCCATCATCACAACATATAACACCACCCATCATCACAACATATAACACCATCCATCATCACTACATATAACATCATCCATCATCACAACATATAACACCACCCATCATCACTACATATAACATCATCCATCATCACTACATATAACACCATCCATCATCACTACATATTACATCATCCATCATCACAACATATAACACCACCCATCATCACTACATATTACATCATCCATCATCACTACATATAACACCACCCATCATCACTACATATAACATCATCCATCATCACAACATATAACACCACCCATCATCACTACATATTACATCATCCATCATCACTACATATAACACCACCCATCATCACTACATATTACATCATCCATCATCACAACATATAACACCACCCATCATCACTACATATTACATCATCCATCATCACAACATATAACACCACCCATCATCACTACATATAACACCATCCATCATCACTACATATAACACCATCCATCATCACTACATATTACATCATCCATCATCACAACATATAACACCACCCATCATCACTACATATAACATCATCCATCATCACAACATATAACACCATCCATCATCACTACATATAACACCATCCATCATCACTACATATAACACCACCCATCATCACTACATATTACATCATCCATCATCACAACATATAACACCACCCATCATCACAACATATAACACCACCCATCATCACTACATATAACACCATCCATCATCACTACATATAACACCATCCATCATCACTACATATAACACCATCCATCATCACTACATATAACACCACCCATCATCACTACATATAACACCACCCACCATCACTACATATAACACCATCCATCGTCACTACATATAACATCATCCATCATTACTACATATAACACCATCCATCATCACTACATATAACATCCATCATCACTACATATATCATCATCCATCATCACTACATATAACATCATCCATCATCACTACAGATCGGTAAAGTAATTTTCAAGATTCTCGTGCGGTCATACATACAAACAGACAGACTTCTTTGTGACTGGGTAACTTTACGTCTGGGCTACGAGGACACTAAAAGCAGTTCTAGACTCCGTTATATTTCACACAAAGCCTGTTCAGCAAGCTTATGGCGCCGTGAACCTCTTTTTGGGACTACCCGTGCCGCTTAGGTGATCAGAGTAACCTTTTACCAAATCCGGCTTCGAAACACGAGGAACCATATATATTTCATTTGCCCAATAAAGCCGAGTCTAGGACTGCTTTTAGTGTCCTGGTGGCCCAGAGGTAACGTTCACCGGTCACAATCATAAGTTCGTGGGTTCGAATCCTGGCGGGGTGAGGTGTTGATTATATGTAGAAGTCCGCGTGCTTTATTGGGCTAATGATATATATATATATACTGGCAGTTTTATATATTCACAATTTTGCATTTTATATCTATTCTCGCTTCTTCAGCTACAGCCGAGAAAGTACCATCCAAGGCAAGACACTTCTGCCGTGGTCGCAGATGAATTTCGCCGTCGGGGCAGGTCTTCACAACATGCTGTCTGTGACTGTTCCTATCGTTCTCTCCGGGATTCTAGATATGAGGAAACAAGAGATCCAGCTGACAGTCGAGCCCTTGAATAACAACAAGGTAAACTAAATGTACAATGAAAATAAGGTCAACATTGAACAATTAATACCTAAAATTTTCAGTACACATACATACATAGACACAACGATATTATAATGGTAGTAATATACAAATATTATTTATTCCTTTCATCAACTCAGAAACAAGTAATAAGTACAGCTACAGGTGCTAGAGATTTTAAAAACGTAAACGAACACGGAAACTGTTCTTGATCAGTTACCAGGGAAACTTTTGTACAGATACAGTTGAAAGTACATTAGCTATCGATTTAATAGTATTAGCTACAAAGAAACGCTATACTCGGAGACAAAGCACCTCTGAAAGTACGATAATCCAATGTTACAGGTACAGCTAGTCGACTCGCACAACTACCCCTACACCGTGTTGGCCGGACCCTTCCCGACCACCGTCTACACCCAGCAGCATCAGTACATGACGATTAAGAACACTGATCCTGAAGTATTCTCGGTGAGGCACTACTCATAATTTCTTCCAATGTAGACTTTTAGAGCATTTCGACGGATATTTTACTGCTGTTTGTATCATAACTCATGTCATAACTTGTGCGTGTAAAAAAAATATCCTAGTTATAAAAACTACATATGAAAATGACAGTCCCTTAAAGCCATAGATATCAATGTTTATTGTTTTTGCTTCTAACACTGATACTGAGCTTTTCCTTCTGACAGAGACGTACTCAAGCGCTTCCTTCTGTTGTTGGACTCTCAGTTGAGTCTTCTTGGTCAGCGGACTTTGAGTTCCCTATCAACTTTGCCTCCATCCACAGGTAAATGCTGGATATTTTCATTTAAGAAAAGTTTCCATACAAAGACAGAGTCAAACTTCTCAACTCAGTATATAGAAAATGTTAATTGACTTTTAAATAAGTAACATAAAGGAGTTGATTTTAGTGGAGATAGTCTATTAGCCCCCTGTGTACGTGAACCCCTCTGAGTTGAATAAAATCGTCTGGCATTGGCCAAATAAAATATCAAAAGTAGTGTCCCCGTAGTGAAGGGCTATCTACTAGTCCTCTCCGCATTTTCGGACGAACCAACAATTAGATTATTTATTTCAGGAGAGACTTTGACCTATTCACTCCAGCATATAAACTCTGGGAGTATAGTCTGGAGCTGAACCCCGAGACGTCCTCAACGAGAACCATCACCACCACCTTCGGTTATGGTAAGGTTAGGTTAGGTTAGATTAGGTTATGGTAAGCACTCTGGTTCACGATAATGATCTATTATTTTTTATGGGTAAACATAGCATAATAACTACTTATTTTAATACAATGGCTCCTTGTCAAACTTGATAATTTCTGTGATATATCACATTTTGATTACCACATGAAATCCCCAGCCTACAATATTTTTTGGCTAATGAAAGAATATCCAATAGAAAAACTGGTAATATTGATACAGTAATACGAAGTAGGAAGTAGATTAGCCTAAAGACAAATCTTCTCTTTCTGCTTAAATATCAGACCTAGAACAGGAGTTCATCTTTAAGTGTTTTCCAGCCGTCGTGCAGTACTATAACCACCCACCACCACCTCCCCCGCGTGTAAATCCCACCCTAAGTTAACTATTATGTACTGTACATTAAGCCACCCACCTCAGCCATCATTCCAAACTTAATCACCACTTTACCTGTTACAAGAATTTTCATTTCATATTTCTTATTCATTTTAAAATCTGTAAAATTGTAGTTATTACACTGCTGGTAGAAAAATATGGTTCTATGCATCAGAGTGATTTTGATATTTTCTGTCAGTGACCATGCAGAGAGCGGAGAGGCTTATGGAGCAGGTGGACGAGGGGGAGTTTGGACAGGAGTCACAGGGGAGTGATTATTCCCAAATGTCTCAAGATTATCAAGATTACCAGGTTGGTTCTCTTGCACAGTGTATTGCTCTTCAAGAACTAAGACACAGGTGGCTGCTACTTTGATTTACAGATTTTAAGATCCAAAACGCAACTTCTAATTTATGACATATGCATGAAGATATATATATATATATATATATATATATATATATATATATATATATATATATATATATATATATATATATATATATATATATATATGCAAATAAATCACTGTAGGTGCGCGTGATCCAGGTATATGCTGGGAACTTCGTGTTTTCTTTTTCCTTGTGGTTATCAGTATATATATATATATATATATATATATATATATATATATATATATATATATACACACATTTTAAAGAAAATATCATACAGTATATGAATAAAAAACACAAACACATGGTTAGTACTTACACACACACACACACAAAGCTCTATAAACCATGAATTAAAATCTACCTGTCATTTGTCATTTTTCTCATTACAGGAATCTGAACAGGTAGAAAATATTGATAACCGGGAACGTATTGCCAGGATTCAGCAACAGGTTATGCCAGGTAAGTGATTCATTCTATCTTGTTCTTTCATACTTTCCTCCTCTTCCCTTTTCAAGCATGTCTCGTCTCTTTACCTTTTAATATATGATTCTTTCTTTTAACACAGATTCCTCCACCTCTTATATATACAGTCTTCATGTTATCTTTGTTTCTATCCTCTTTTTCCAATATAATTATCTCCTTTTCCTCTCTCATGCCTGTCGCTTTTATTTTTATTGTTTTTCCCTTTCTTTTAAGGCTGTCTTCTCAGGTGGGCTTTAATAGCAGACGCTGTGAGGGGAAGGTGGTAGGTAGTTATGGGTGGTGATAGTGTTAGATGGTGAAGGGAAGGTGGTAGGTAGTCATGGGTGGTGATAGTGTTAGATGATGGTGGTGGTGATAGTGTTAGATGATGAAGGGAAGGAGGTAGGTAGTCATGGGTGGTGATAGTGTTAGATGGTGAAGGGAAGGAGGTAGGTAGTTGTCATAGGTGGTGATAGTGTTAGATGATGAAGGGAAGGAGGTAGGTAGTTGTCATAGGTGGTGATAGTGTTAGATGATGAAGGGAAGGAGGTAGGTAGTTGTCAGTAGGTGGTGATAGTGTTAGATGATGAAGGAAGGAGGTAGTAGTTGTCATAGGTGTGATAGTGTTAGATGATGAAGGGAAGGTGGTAGGTAGTCATGGGTGGTGATAGTGTTAGATGGTGAAGGGAAGGTGGTAGGTAGTCGTGGGTGGTGATAGTGTTAGATGATGAAGGGAAGGTAGTAGGGTAGTCATGGTGGTGATAGTGTTAGATGATGAAGGGAAGGAGGTAGGTAGTTGTCATAGGTGGTGATAGTGTTAGATGATGAAGGGAAGGTGGTAGGTAGTCGGGTGGTGATAGTGTTAGATGATGAAGGAAGGTAGTAGGTAGTCATGGGTGGTGATAGTGTTAGATGGTGAAGGGGAAGGAGGTAGGTAGTTGTCATAGGTGGTGATAGTGTTAGATGATGAAGGGAAGGTGGTAGGTAGTCGTGGGTGGTGATAGTGTTAGATGATGAAGGGAAGGTAGTAGGTAGTCATGGGTGGTGATAGTGTTAGATGGTGAAGGGGAAGGAGGTAGGTAGTTGTCATAGGTGGTGATAGTGTTAGATGATGAAGGGAAGGTGGTAGGTAGTCGTGGGTGGTGATAGTGTTAGATGATGAAGGGAAGGTAGTAGGTAGTCATGGGTGGTGATAGTGTTAGATGGTGAAGGGGAAGGTGGTAGGTAGTCGTGGGTGGTGATAGTGTTAGATGATGAAGGAAGGTAGTAGGTAGTCATGGTGGTGATAGTGTTAGATGGTGAAGGGATGGTAGGTAGTCGGGTAGATAGTGTTAGATGATGAAGGGAAGGTAGTAGTCAGGTAGTCGTCGGGTGGTGATAGTGTTAGATGGTGAAGGGAAGGTGGTAGGTAGTCGTGGGTGGTGATAGTGTTAGATGATGAAGGGAAGGTAGTAGGTAGTCATGGGTGGTGATAGTGTTAGATGGTGAAGGGGAAGGTGGTAGGTAGTCGTGGGTGGTGATAGTGTTAGATGATGAAGGGAAGGTGGTAGGTAGTCATGGGTGGTGATCGTGTTAGATGGTGAAGGGGAAGGTGGTAGGTAGTCGTGGGTGGTGATAGTGTTAGATGATGAAGGTGGAGTGGTAGGTAGTCATGGGTGGTAATAGTGTTAGATGATGAAGGTGGAGTGGTAGGTAGTCATGGGTGGTAATAGTGTTAGATGATGAAGGTGGAGTGGTAGGTAGTCGTGGGTGGTGGGTTACAGCAGATGGAAAGGAAAAATGTCCCATCCAGCACTGGAGGAGCGAAGTAACACCAGACATAGGGTCAGAAATCCCATCAGATTAGATTACAGATTGAGGATTCAGGAGAGGTCATACTCGCCTTTATATAACAATCCTTTCTATTGTTCCGTGAGGTGGATGAGAGAGAATCGGGGGAGGAATATTACGTTGCTGGGTTTGCTAACATGCAGAGAAAGCTAGACTGAAGTAGGCGGTCAATGTGCAAGTCTAGACGATAGAAAGCTGGCAAGAAGAGCAGATGAATGGACGGGGCCAGGACCTATAATTATGAATATTATCAACTGATTTTTAACGCAATAATTAACTTTTTAACATCAGCTTCAGGCGGGTACGTGCAGAGCATAAGTGTGGGCGTGGCGCTTCAAGGATCCATCAGCAGAAGCTATGAATCAGTGCTAACGTGGAACACTAGCCCCATCACTTCCCCCCAGAGCTCCACTAAGATCCAGCTCAGCCTCCTTCAGCATACTCCTCTTGGCGTCTTGGAAGAATCACACGCTGTAAGATGTTGCTTCTTGAACTATTTTGTTTACAGTTTGAGTATACAGAGGGAGAAAAAAGAGAAATAGATAAAGCAATTAAGAATAAAGATAAGAAAATTTATACTTCAATATTTCCAGTCTGGAGTCTCAAAAAAAATTATTCACTCATCGGCTTCAGTGACCTAAAATTTTCATTAAATTTGTCGTGGTTTATTTATTAATTGTCATCAATTTATTTAATTACTTATCATTTTGGATGTTCTGACCAGACGTGCGTGAACCTGAGGGTGGTGAAGCTTTTCTTCCTGCCTATGGCCACTACTGAAGAAGTGTTGTCCGCCAACTTCCACACCACCGTCGATGCCGAGGTGTACGACGGCGTAAACTGTGACGATCAACCTGTTCTTAAAATCCAGGTAAGAGACCTCAGGTAGAATGTGTGTGTGAGTGTGTTGACTCCCCTACTCTTGAAGCATGTGGGGAGATATCAGTTAGAATGTGTACTGATCTACAAAATGGTGTTAGTAGTGGGGTCACGCAATTTCATGTGTTTAGTATTTAATTCACCAAGCAGGACAGTGGGTTAAGTGTATACAACATCTGGGAGATTTGTATATTGAAGCTGGTCTGACGGAGTATAGACGTTTAACACGGTGAGTGTGGAGTTACCCAGGTGGATAGTGATCACATGATATAGAAAGCTGGTAGTCTTTTGGGATACAAGAGGGGCATATAGTAGCATTTTCTCTGCACACATTAGACATGTGTGAGTAGAACTAAGATCAAAATAAACATAATTGGACAGACTGGGTGAGGGCTTACCAGTAAGTGTGATACTCTCCCCAAGACACACAATATCAATGTCCTCAGTCACAACTTTGTGGTGCCGGTCAGGGTCGTTTTCTGAGGATAAAATGTTCCAACTCATCACTGTGTGTGTTTGTGTGTGTGTGTATGTGTGTGTGTGATAGAGAGAGGGAGAGAGAGAGAGAGAGAAACTGTGTGTGGTTGTGTCGCTTTATATAAGATAATGTATTTTGAGCAATCAATACTTGCTCCTCGACATGCTTGTCTGCCTGCACCAAAGTACTTGTAACAGTATTCGTACCTATACTTACACCAGTGCCTGTGCCTTCTTACAGGGTGTGCTTGACGTGAGTGAGAAGAAATTGGAACATATAAGGGAGAAACTGTCCCATCAAGACTGCAACAGAGAGTCTGAAAATCTTCTACCCATTGACATCATCACATCTCCCCTTTACGACCACGCCAACATCAAGGCTTACTGGAATGAGGTACGTGTTTATTTGCACACACACACACACACACACTTCCTTGGTGGAAAATAGAGATGACAGATTTCCTCAGGCCACAGCTGCCACCCTCAACCGGGTTTTTGTTGCAACTGCAGTACATATGAACAAAAGAACATAAGAAAGGAGGAAACTGCAGCGGGCTTATTGGCCCATACTGGGCAGTCCCGTTTACACCCAACCCCTATTGCTCATATAAGCATCCAACCTATGTTTGAAACTATTCAGCGTATTCGAGTTAATGATGCTATTTGGTAACTTGTTCCATTCATCCACTACTCTGTTTCCAAACCAGTGTTTACCTATTTCACGCCTAAATCTAAATTTGTCTAATTTAAAACCATTGTTACCAGGGCCGGTGCAAGATGATTTGGCGCCCTAGGCAAGCCTTGATGTGCGCCCCCTTGAAAGTTTTGATAAGCTAATGTAGGTACAATAACCCATTACTACATTGTTTTCATCTTGTGGCTTTATTACTTCACCCATGCAAATAACCAATTATTGTTATTACATTAAGTCAATAAATCCTTGATGTAAACTTCAGAGGTTAGGTAACCTTGCCTCATCCCGACAAAGACAGGGAAGGGGCGACTCAGCCGCCCTGGCAGTAAGTGGCAGTAAGGGAGGGGAGGGGATGGTGGGGTTGGGAGAAGGGTTCCTCAGATGTCAGCCTTCAGGTCACTGATCGACAGTTCTCCAGGCCGCCAAAGATAAGGACCCGGGTTAGTCCCTCCGGGGGGTTAACGAATAATATTAAAAAAGAAAACACAGTCGGCTACCGTCTACCTCCCCTCGCCTCCCTCCGACCCCCCACCCTTCTAACATCCTGCTCCGACCCTCCACGGCTCCACCACAGTGTCCACCACAGTTTTCCCTTCATTTTTAATTTTATCCAAGTTTGCCCTGAATTTGTGGCGCCCCCAGATGTTGGCGCCCTAGGCGTTCGCCTAGTTCGCCTAGTGGGTAGCGCCTGCCCTGATTGTTACGAGTTCGCTCCTGGTTGGATAGTTTGAGTACCTTTGTAATGTCCCCTTTGTTTCGCCCTGACTTCCACTTATACACCTCTATCAGGTCGCCCCTCGCTCTGCGTCTCTCGAGGGAGTGCAAATTAAGATGCTTTAACCTGTCTCTATACTCAAGGTTCCTAATGCCCGGGATTAGTCTTGTCATTCTCCTCTGAATTCTTTCCAAGGATTCTATATCCATTCTGTAATACGGTGACCAGAACTGAACTGCGTAATCCATGTGTGGTCTCACAAGCGCAAGATACAGTTTTAGGATGACCTCGCTAATCTTGTAACTAACACTCCATTGTATGAACCCAAGTACTTTATTAGCCTTGTTATGAGCAAAAACACATTGTTTACTTGGCTTAAGGTTCCTACTTATGATTTCTCCTAAATCTCTCTCGCAGTCGGATTTCTCTTTGGCATCGTTGTTCATCTGGTATCTGGTTTTCCTGTTTACATCTCCTATACTGAGTACTTTACATTTGTCCACGTTGAATTTCATCTGCCATTTTTCAGACCATTCGAAAAATTTGTTTAGATCTTCCTGTAGTTTTGCCGAGTCCTCGTCAGATTTAATAACACGTCCTATTTTAGTGTCATCAGCAAATTTACTTATGTTGCTGTCTATGCCGATATCTATGTCGTTTATGTATATAATAAATAATAATGGTCCAAGTACTGAGCCTTGGGGAACTCCACTTGTGACGTTGCTCCAATGGGACTTAAAGCCGTTAATGCTCACTCGCTGTTTCCTGTCCTGTAACCACTCCCTAATCCATTTAAGGATATTACCTTTGAAGCCATGTGCTTCTACCTTTCTAATTAGTCTTTCGTGGGGGGCTCTGTCGAAGGCTTTGCTAAAGTCGAGATATACCACATCATAATTGTGCCCCTCGTCCTCTGATTCGAAAACTGATGAAAAGAATGTCAATAGATTCGTTAGACAAGAACGTCCACTTGTGAAGCCATGCTGGGAATCATTTGTGAAGCCATGCTGGGAATCTACGTTTCACACACACAAACTTACATTACACAATCAATTTCAACAATGTGATACCAGATATTATGTGAAATTAAATTACTAAATAATATATTCATTTACAACTCGTCTATTAATCAAAGCATCTGTTATTTCTTTCTTTAACACAGAATTTCCCAAACACTCTGATGAACTTGACTTACTTCGTAGATGATATCATACGGGGTGTTCTTTTCCCTTACGTCTCTCTCGACCACACCGCCAGAAACCCCGAGAACCAGATAGAGATTGATGCCACCAAGTAAGTAAGAGAAACTCAGAGAAATTTTCATTGCACCTCATGTTTATATTCACTGAAGTACCGAATCCTGAAAATAACGTAGACCGTGTACGTGACAGCATATTAACTTTAACCAGGTATATTTAATAACATTTATATTTGTTTGATATTCATTACACGCCCTGTACTAAAAAACTTTGCCTTGCTAGGTGTTGAGTGACATTGGTTTTAAACTGATGTGAACTATATATTTTAACTTGTTTTTTTTTTATGCAGAACCTTAGACACTAACCGTTGGACCGTCAGGACGACAAAGGCAGAGGAGGTATCCATCATTAAGGACCTCAAGCCACCCGCACTGATTGAGGAATTTGGTGGACCAGCCAGGTTGGCTGACACTTTCGATTACAGCGTAATCAGAGGCCGCACACCCTCTGTCTGTGTTATCGAGGACACTCAAGTAAGTAACTAATGAATGGGAATGGCACAAGATAATGGAGAACATTATAGTAAGCAAGTAATGAATGTATAAAATTAAAACAAGATCCATTCAAAAGAAAAACTGATGATGATTTTATGAAGTTCCTATACATCTTCCTGAAGGAACTGCTACAATTTTACTCTTTTTGCCAGGATTTGGTAAACATACCAGAAGTTTCTTTTGATTTGATTTATATTCATAATTCCATTAATACATTTTTTTAATAATAACCTGCTTTATGTAAACTTTGCAGGTGCGAACTTTGGACGGCACAGTGTTCTCACATCAACCGGATGCTTGCTGGACCACCGCCAGTATATTCCACGCCGACCCTGAAGACCCAGAGGCCATGGAAGGAGCTCTTATGGTCCGCCACACAGACCAATGGGAAGTGCGCATTGTTTGGCCTTGGAGGGGACTCCAGCTTGACCTGACAAAGACGCAGCTACTAGTACGTTCCTATTTATTTTATTTTATTTTTTGACATGAAATGAAACGAGACACAACCACCAAATTGCCCATACAAATACTAAGGAAAGTAGTGTTTTCCAGACTGATTTTCTTCAGGCACCCTTTTCAGCGAATTTTTCTGATAGCTATCACCATAAGTATCTGGTCCCTTTTGACACAAACAATCTGCCGTGTCAGAATCATTAAAAACGAAGTCAGTGAAGTTTCCTGTGACAATACTTAAGCAATTTGTTATTGTATGAATTAAAACTTTTGTCCTCTTGCCAACAGGTCAATCAGAGACCATATGAGGAGCGTGACAAGACTTACGAGTTCATTAGACTATCAGATGCTGGTCTTCTCCTGTTTGCTGACGGTTGTTTCATCAAAGTCTCGGACAAAGTGGAAATCTTGGTAAGCTGACCTGACTATGAGTTTTCATAATTGCTGAGCATATTTGTAAAAGAAACTGAAATCAACCTTCCAAGATTCGCTTACAGATGATTAAGGTCCAGGAATTAGCTAACAAAGGTGTATTTATTAGGAACCTTAAGTTGGATAAAATTAATATAAATGTTTCAATAAGTGTGAATACACTTAAATAGGAATTCCAATACGTTGGAGTTATATTGTACGGACGTATGGATGAGTTAGAATTGTCTCCAAGTTACTCGGACATAATAAAGATGTTATTAACAGGATCCACAAGTACTAAGAGGAAAGATCGAAGGCCTGTGTGGTAAGATGGATGGTGAGAAAAGCAACGACCTGGTAGGCCCTAAAGGATGTATCTACACCAACCTAACCTTATTCGCTCTATCTTGGACGACTCCCTCTCAGGATTGCGACGTCTTTGCCTTACAATCCAAGAAAGATGAAGTGGAGCTATTCCAAAAGACTTGTTCTCGCGAGTCCTACATTCCTACCGGAGTGTCACACGCCGATGGTAGGTTAAGATCGTGATGTTTTGGTGTGTGTGTGTGTGTGTGTACAATAAAAAATATTATATACAGCTCCTATTGCCCTCCTGCCTCACTCGGTTTAACACTATGTCATGAATGAGGAGGATGAGGTTGCATAATAACTAGATCCTTTATACCTGTCTTTTACAACCTCATATCAAAGTCTGATCATATTTGACAGTTATGTTTAGTAAGGTTTAAAAGTTAGAATGGTTTTCCGTTGCCACATCTCTCTGTCTTCTCTTAAAAACAACGCGATGATAGACAATAAAGACCCGTCCTCTCCACCACAGTCGTGTATGACTGTACCGAGTGGCTCTACCAGGAGAAGATATTCGGCAACTACAAATGCAAATCCATGGTCCCAACTCCTTTTTGCAAGCCTGAGTGTGAAGCAACTGAGAATATCACGAAACCTGTAAGTGTGAAACATTTATTTATATGTTATCTTAATGTACCCTGTACATACGATTTCTTTTTACTAATATATAGTGCACGGACAATCCCCAACAGAGGTTCACGGCGTTTAGCAAGCATGTTTAACAGGCTCTGTGTGGAATAAAATAATGCCTAGGATTGCTTTTGCTGTCCTTGCGGTGCGGTGGTAGCGATCCCTGTTCACACACAAAGGTCCAGAGATATATACATAAAATTTTTAATCATAATTTTTGTGTTGAGAAAGTTGTGATATTATATTTTCCTTCTCTTCATTTTTTTTATTATTAGCAACATCAGATGATATGCAGTTATATTCAACTTAACTTCTTTTCCACCAGATTGCGTATGACTGTGTGTGGTCAGAGGAGCGAGTTCTGCAGCTGGGTTCAACAGACAAGGCTTGTTACCCCCACACCTACGTGACCAACTACCCGGCCTCTTGTGTTCCCCATTAGACATCCCAAAGCAGCTTTACAATACCCCATGAATGATTTGCTTTCATACTTCCGACCCATACCTGTTCTGAGTGTTACTGACAATCACTATGATTATCATTTCCAAATATTCTTTTTCTCTCTTTCTCTGTCATTAAGGATTTCGTAACCTGTCAAAGGTACCTTTTGACAAAAATATTCTTATGCATAATTGTATTGTTAATTTATCTTCTTACCGACAAAAAAGTAAACGGGAAACTCTTTTTTTGTTTCTTATAATTATATCTATAAGACTCTGAGTGCAAAATATATCCTTGGGAAATACAACACTACTACATAAAGTGAAAAGTATCTTGCCAGTCACTCCAAATTCTTCAAATTACGGAGGAAAAGTGAATGCGTGAAAACTAATGACGGCAACAGGTGCAAGAACAGAATCAGTGCCCCTGAAGATAAGTTTTGTATGAAAATTTTCAGTCATTTGTATTTTTATTATCTACAATTCTACATGATTTTATAAAGCTAGTCAGTAGTCCCAAAAATGATAAAGAAATAGAAGTTAGTGCTAATCTTCAGAGGCAACTGAATTTACAGGGACTGAGAGAGGTTTATATACAAAAGGCGACCTACATAACATCAGGTTAGTTCAATAACATGGAATCCACTAATCCACACCACCTCCACTGCACACGAAATAAGAGCTCATAAAAAATGAGCCCTACAGCTTTGGCGAGGTCTTGTCACTCTAGGCTCTGTACATAATATAGATAATAGGCTATATGTACGTAAAGTAAAATAGACTATATTTCACCACTTCAGTTACCCAGTGAAAAAAAAAGTTGGTGTTAGACAGTTAGAGTGTGTATGAAGTTGGACTATGGTTGTCCCCGTGACTAGGGAGGAAGAACTAATGCTAGAAAAAGCCGCTCGACCCAGAACCAAGTGTGTGTGTGTGTGTAGTTAAGGAGACGCTTTAGATGCAGAAATTCATTACCTCCACCATTTATTGATAAATTGTAGAACTTTCATCATCTTTTTTTTTTTAATAAGAAGACCGCTCGGGAATATATAGTAAAAGATGAGAGATATTCCCTCGGTCTAACAAGAAGACTGATATACTGATTGATATACAGTATGCAACTATTTGCATATCCCCCAACATTCCTCTATGAATAGTTCTGGTCTCTAATTGGCTGAAAATTTCTGGTTTGCCTTATACCGACTACTGTAAATACCTTGTTAGTTCAATATTTTGTCTACAACGCCGGAATGTTAGGTTGGACAAATGATTACGGGAATATACACAATGATGTTTGAATACTGTTCACGGAAACCTACACAAGAGTCAAAACTATAATAATGACGTTATGTCTATGTGTGAACAACCTAAACCAAAACGTACCTGGTCACCGAAGAGGTAGTTTTCATAGAAAATTCTCATAATAAACAATTCTATCATTAAGGGAGAATATTGTACCGTAGGAAGCGACAGTCACAATCAACCATATTATAATTAGTATAGCTTATCTTTCCCTCCACTTCCTGTTTCCTCACCGGTGGCGGCCAGCGGTGAACATGCGCCGAGATCTACTAATCTTTGTGTTACCAGAGAACTTAGTGGGCGTTACATTAAGGTAAGGTACTGTGGTGGTGGTAATGTTGCAGTGTACTGGTGGTAATGTCGTATTGTACTGGTGGTAGTGTAACAGTGTACTGGTGGTAATGTCGTAGTGTACTGGTGGTAGTGTAACAGTGTACTGGTGGTAATGTTGCAGTGTATTGGTGGTAGTGTAACAGTGTACTGGTGGTAATGTTGCAGTGTATTGGTGGTAGTGTAACAGTGTGCTAGTGGAAGGGTAACGGTGTATTAAATGGTAATGTAACAGAGGACTAGGTGGTAACGTAATAGCGGCTATTAAAGTGTTCAAGCGTTAATTGAATGTGTCAACTAAAACTATATACAGTACGTGTCCATTAAAACTAATATACTTACGTGTCAATTGTTCATCTAAGCACTCGCATATCTAATAAATTAGATACGTGTTCATTAAATTTCCCCAAACACACTCGTATATTAAAAGGATACATTAATTTCACACCACTTTTAACAGTATTTGAGAGACTCATGTCATCTCTTATACGATAATTTTGTGTTTTCATGTTATTCTGGATATCCTACAAAATAAGTGTTTTTGGTCTCCTCTTAGCCTCCAACCCCACCCCTCAAAATTTTTTAATTGATATTGATACTGAAACAGTTCATTTAGCCAGAAAAATACCGATACAGAGTGGACAATAATAATGATATTGACATGGCTGAGCCAATTGAGAGCCTAAGCTCTCTTAATGGCACCTGATATATACTGTACATTTATCTCAAGGAAATATTATGTAACATTTAGTCTCATCTGGAATAGTACACATAATTTGGTGGTCATAAGAACATATCAGTATGTTACCATGGTTATCGCTTCGATATTTTTTATTTATTTTTATTTTTGATTACATTTACATCTAAGTATATACATAATTAACAGTGGAGTTGATATATATTAATATGATAAGGGAGGGAAGCAATACAACATGGGTTGTATGAAGGTGAAACAAGAAGACAGAAACTTTCAGTATCATGTCTTGACAACATTTTTCTATAATTATTGCAATGGCAATTTCTATCTATCTTACTAATATATTGTAAACATATAAACAAAATGTGAAAATTAAATTTTCTTGGAAAGTGTTGCCAATCAATTGTTTTTGTGGTTATATTCGCTTTTAGCGTCCAAAAAATCCATGAAGGGAAAACCATTTTATCTCCGAAGTACACAATTTTCAAAATTTGTAGACCAATGTATACATCAGCCATGACAGAGATAAGAAAAATAATTTTGCTGTCAGTTTTCCAGGTAGGCTTGAAATTCCTCATTGTGATTAGGGATGCTTTCTGCAAGATATTTGCCAACATTGATAAAATAATAATTGAAGTGGTTGGCAATGAGGAAGGGTTCCGTTACAACTGTATCATTTATCATAAAAACTGAGTGAGGAGAGGGCGTAGGTGAGTGTTTCTGTTCTAAATAGAAATAATGGTACTCCAGGTTTTCTTTGCTGTTGCCCGATGTTGACTGTAGCTTATTTGCATAATAGTTACATCTTTCATTTCTAACTGCTTGAGTTACTCTTAGTTTTCATACTTCGGTAAGCATCACCGAAAGTTAATAAATATTGAATTAGTAATCTGAGTATCACCACTCTACTCCTTCTAAACATTGGTTCCCAGAAAATAATACTTACTCACGTGCCTAGACATCTACCACACTACCCAACAACTTTCCATGAGTTATGTTATATAATGAAAAGTCTGGGTGGTGGCAGCTACCCTTTGTAAGTATAAAAAGTGTTGTACAAAGAATAACATGGTTCCCCAGACTAACCCATGTATAAGAATAGACATAAAACAAAGTATACTTCAGAAAGGTAAGAACATTGAAACTAAGAAATATATATAGTTAAAGAATGGAAGAAGAATAAGTATATAAAACAGGGTACTCATTGGAAGAATGCTACACAGAACAAATAAGTATATGAGTACATAGAATACTAACAGAAAAGAGTAGCTGGATGGTAAATTATTGAAAAGAGAAAACTCGGCCCGTTACACCGTCACTGTCCATGGAGGTGATAGTTGTAAAGCATTATCGAGTAATGATACTGTGAATGCAACATACGGGTCTGCCCTACAGCGGCCTGCACGAGTCATTCGCCTGTGTGTCCGCTAGATTACTTATACCGTCGAAATATAAGACAGGGGTAATGACCTTCACACCTAAATTACTGTACTTACAGGAAACCACAAACCACAGCCAAGAAATTCTTCCTGTGAAGAGCCGTTAGGTCTTGGAGATTTTGAGTTTGACAGAATCTTTTCAGGAGATTAATGACTTTTTTAAATAGACAACTGACACTAACTAAGCTACAAACATCCGATTCTCTCATATTTGGGTATCAAAATAATCTAACTTCAGTAGCACTTGGAATTCATGGCTATCCCCATCGACGTTATAAGGATATGCCACTCATATTGACAAACTCAACACTCACTCACTCGACAAGTTTTACTAATAAGGACATTTGAAGCCTTCAACATCACTCACAATGGATCTTGAATGTTCCAGCTGTAATCAGACCTATCTAAGTTTCAACAATTGCAATCACAGCTGTAATTTCAAATTGTCGTTACTCAGGAATATCGAAGTCTCGGGTGGATTCTAAGGTTGAGAGAAAACGAAGGACTCGGCCGTCCTGAAGTGATGAGAAAACGGACTCCTCAGATGGGAAACTCAAATAAAGAAAGCACAGCTACATTTTTTTTGTGGGCTTGGCTATTGAGCGTAATATGAATAGTTTGATTTTATGTTAACTGATGTGTATGATCGTGGTCATTACATTTCGGCCGGCTGAACGACGTTCAAAATTCTGGTTATGCGGCTGTAAGTTTTAACAGCGAGCTTGGGAGTTGTGCGATTTTTTGGTGGACGTTGACAGCTGCCACTCTACTGCAAACCGTGATGTCATCCTGGGCTTGATCCACGCTGAGTGCTCCATAGTCTTCTTTGCACAACACCAATTATTAAATTTTTATACATATTGACCAAAATTAATCGTTAATATATTGTGGAGGACAAGGTAGTTTATATAACGATGAATTATTTCTTTGTAACGTAGAAGAGCTTGTTCTCGCAACTTGTCTGTTGCTTCCTCAAAACTGCATCAACTGATGGCTACTAGGCTCCGCCCACTACCTTAGATATTTTTGATAACTGCGTTCGTATTGAGATAGTCATATGCATTATTATAACCTAAGTCCCATTGGGGCAACGTCACTAGTGGAGTTCCCCAGGGCAAAGTACTTGGACCATTATTATTTATTATATACATAAACGACATACATATCTGCATAAACAGCAACATAAGTAAATTTGCTGATGACACTAAAATAGGACGTGTTATTAAATCTGACAAGGACTCTGCAAAACTACAGGAAGATCTAAACAAATTTTTCGAATGGTCTGAAAAATGGCAGATGAAATTCAACGTGGACAAATGTAAAGTACTCAGTATAGGAGATGTAAACAGGGAAACCAGATACCAGATGAACAACGATGCCATAGAGAAATCCGACTGCGAGAGAGATTTAGGAGTAATGATAAGTAGGAACCTTAAGCCAAGTAAACAATGCGTTTTTGCTCGTAACAAGGCTAAT